GCTCCCTTCTATGTCTATAGCCAGTAACCAGGTGTAGCGAGTAGAGACGGGGCTATCTGGATAAACAAGGAGCATGAGAGCTTGGTGCTGCCTTCCTTCAGCACGCTTGGGACATTCCCAATAGCCTGAAGCTGAATAAGATGATCTAACACAATATCAAAGTAGTGAACAGCTCAGGTAATTAACTGAGTATCATCTTGGAATTGAAAAAAACCAGAATGCTCGAATGGGTATGCTTTGGAGCACTAGCAAGTTGGAAGAATTGTGAAGTTGAGCCATCATAAACTGGGAAACACCTGACGTCAAGGAGATACAGAAAGGTCTTCCATCATTCCTGACTTTCCCTTTTTATTAAGAGTCGCCACAAAAAAAAAAAAAAAAAAAAGAGATGCTCTCAGTTTACTTGGAAGGATGACTAGCATAGGGAAACAGACACCTTATGGAAATACAGCACTTCTGGTTATTTTATCACAGGACTAGGATGAAGACTCATGGAAGTGTAAATCAAGGTGCTCTTTAAAAAGATGACAGACTTGCCAGATGGGGGAAGAATATCAAGGATATTTCTCAAGCCAATGTTACTGTCTCATCTCTCCCAGGGGGAGCAGCTCTGCAGTGAGCTCAGCCATTGGGCTGGGGAAGGAACCACTGTAGATTTACGGGTGGCTGAGGGGCAGCAGGACAGAAATGCCTTCTAACAATCAGATAGGTGATTTAGGTACACAGCAGACCTAAAGCATAGATTACTGTGCATTGGCCCTGTCATGGGATCCTAGAGATTTTGTTGTTGTTGTTGAGAATGTAATACTGTACACTCATGTGTTGCTTTTGCTACATTTCTTCCTAAAGTAGAGTGGGTTCATCAAGTAGCATCCTGCATAAACATAATGCTTCTGACCCCCCTATGGAAGAACACATGGGATGTGCTACTTCTCTGATGGTGGCAGAGACGACTGGCATCTACTTCCCTTCTGAGCCACAGCAAGCAAGCCTGGAAAAGGCAGGTAAGCAACAGAAAGCTACATTCAATGCTAACTTTGAAAGAATTCTCAAGAACCTGCACTATGCCTGGTCCCAACGTTACAATTTCGCATGTTATGTTTTCTTATGACAGTCCTATAAAGGTCGTATATGTATCTCCGTCCTGCAGACAGGAAAACTGCGTTCAAGTAACTTTGCTGATGTTATACTGCTGGGAAATGTTCTACCTGTGTCTGATCTTGGAGTTGGAGCTCTTTCTAGGATATCATGCTGACTCCATGAAGTCCTTAAGTCAACAGAGAAGGTGCTAATCCTGATCCAGGGATCCTCAGAATCTTAATGTTAAGGGCACCAGAGAACCTCAACTCAGTGATGGGGACACTAGCTTCGCCATTCAGTTTGCTGTAGTGAGGGATAGCAGAAAATACCTCACAGGAAGTGACAGATTTTGCAGCCATCTACCTTCTACTCTTTCCATAAGACACCTTCATGCACTGTCTTGTGCCCCTCCCACAGACTGTGCCTTTACTCATTTCACTTGGCCATTGCAATAGCTCATCTAAGTCTTAGTGGAAATGTCACCTTCCCAGGAAGCCTACATGCCATGTATTTCATAGCATCCTCTTTCCTTACCTAGGGATTTGCTAGATTATGACTCTGTAAACTACAGGCTGCTGATCAATTTGCTGCCTGATTTTGAACACAAAGGTTCAGAGGATATGGCACAAGCTCATCCATTATGTATTGTCTATGAACAAAGGCAGGGACACACGGTGAAGTAGAGACTGTATGGCCCCCAAGGCCTAAAATATTCACTATCTAAGCCCTCACAACAAAAATCCAAACTTCTGGGTATAGATTATAAGCTGCATGAGGATGTGGTCATGATCACTATTTCCAAAATTTATTTTTATTGCAAAGTCAGAATACGAAGTGGAGGAGAGACAGAGAAGAAGATCTTCCATCCCTTGATTCACTCCCCAAGTGGCTGTAACAGCTGCAGCTGAGCCAATCCAAACTCAAGAGCCCAGAGCCTCTCCTGGATCTCCCACATGGGTGCAGGGTCTCAAGGCTTTGGGCCATCCTCAACTGCTTTCCCAGGCCACAAACCAGGAGTTGGAGGGGAAGTGGAGCCAATGGGATTAGAACTGGTGCCTGTATGGGATACTGGGCATGCAAAATAAGGACTAGTTAACCACTAGGCTACCATGCCTGTCCTACCGTGATCATTTTTAATCTCTAGAACATTCCATTGGGCACTGCATAACATTCAGGGCCTGGTGTTACAGTACTGAGAGCTAAACTGCCTTCTTTGACATTGGTATCCCATGGGAACTGGTTTGAGTCCTGGTTGCTCTACTTATGATCCATAGCACTGCTAATGCACCTGGGAAAGCAGCAGAAGATGGTCCAAGTGCTTGGGCCCTTGTTATCCACAGAGGAGATGTAAATGGAGTCACAGGCTTCTTGCTTTGGCCTGGCCCAGCACCAGCTATTGCAGAATTTGGGGAATGAATCAGCAGACAGATGATTTCTCCATCTCTAATTCTGTCTTTCAAATAAATAAAATAGGACCCAGCGCAGTGCCTAGCAGCTAGGGTCCTCGCTTTGAACGCACCAGGATCCCATGTGGGCACCAGTTCTAGTCCCAGCAGCCCCACTTCCCGTCCAGCTCCCTGCTTGTGGCCTGGGAAAACAGTTGAGGACAACCCAAAGCCTTGGGACCCTGCACCCGTGTGCGAGACCTGGAGGACGTTCCTGGCTCCTGGCTTTGGATCAGCTCAGCACCGATCATTGCAGTCACTTGGGGAGTGAATCATCTGACGGAAGATCTTCCTCTCTCTCTCTCTCTTCTCTGTATATCTGACTTTGTAATAAAAATAGATACATCTTTAAAAAAAGGAAAGAAAAAAAACTGTCAAACAAATAAAATAATTCTAAAAGAAAAAACAAGAACAAATATATATAGTTAAGAAATGGCGACCTCGTGTTGTAGCCTAGCAGCTAAGTTCTCACCTTGCATGCACCGGGATCCCATAATGGCCCCAGTTTGTGTTCTTGCAGCCCCAGTTCCGATCCAGCTCCCTTTTTGCGGCCTGGGAAAGCAGTCCAGGATGGCCCAAGACTTTGGAACCCTGCACTCACATGGGAGACCTGGAGGAAGCTCCTGGCTCCTGGCTTCTTTGGATTGGCTCAGCTGTTGCTGTCACTGCCACTTGGGGGAATGAATCAGAGGACAAAAGAAAAGATCTTTCTCTCTTTGTATCCTCCAGTCTGTATATCTTTCCAATAAGAATAATAAATCTTTAAATATATTTATAGGAGAGAGAGAGAAACAGCAATCATCCAATGCTTGAGGAATAGATGAATGTAAGAATGGACAAATTTGTACTAAGAACTCAAAGCACCAGACCCTGACAAAAGAAAAGAAGTATACATTCTTAAAGAAAATTGATTTTTTCAGAACTGATTTTTCAAATCCAAAGCCTAACTTTAAAAGCCAAATCTCCAAAAATAAAACTATATTCAAATACTTTTTATCACCTTCAGACCCAAACCACCCAAACCACCTTCAGAAGTTTTAAAGCCTCGCCCCTACTTTCCGCATGACAAAGTTCTTCTGTCATGAGACTCCTTCTGAAATTGATGTGAGTTTTAGAGAGACAATCCAGGCCATCACACACCAAATTTAATTTCTCCTAGACAAGCAATACTGGAGTATCCAGGGCCTTTATTTACCTGTGGTCACTGATCATATTCCTTCTCTGGGTGTTTTGCAAAGCTATTCCGATCTGCCCTGTTTCCTAAGTATCTCTCTTAAGGGCAATGAAATACATACCAGTCAGAAATGGAAGGAACAATTAGAAACTAATTAGTTGATATAAAATCAGTCAATTTTAATACTGAGTGAAGAGTTGCCACTAATTGGAGAAAAACCACAAAATGCCTACATGATAAAGAAAATACAAATTCATATTTGTTTTTATCAGGCATTGGAAGGAAATGGTCTTTTTTGGGACAGAAAGAGATATATAGGTACAACAAATCCCATAAACTAGACCCCTGACCACCTCTAGACTACAGTGCTCTGCCAGGCATCCTAGGCAAGCTGGAAGGGTGAGCCTGCATCAAGTTAACACAGAAGCATCTTGAAGAAGAACCACAGAGAGGGCCAGTAATACTGAACAGAAATGAACAGAATGCCAATGAGCAGGGAAGTTCATTCAAAGTTTTGCCCAAAGGACTACATTAATTGTGTCCTGCTGGATATCATACTTCTGAATGAAAAAGAATAATGCAATCAATCCCAAGAAGTGCAGTACATTCGGGTACAGAGTCATGACATATAAATGAAAGTGTATCCAAAAGAATACTGTGGATGCCAGAACTGAACTAACAAAGCAGCTGGAGGGCTCTATCCATTCAATCCCTGAAATCTGATCTGATTGCTCCATTCAGTTCTTATTGGTAGGATTTCTCCTTCAGGTGACAATCCTATAAGTTTTCTTTTTTCCATTTCTTTCCCAGAAAGGAGGGAAGCCCCAATCAGAGGCCTCAAGGCACTGCACAGCTGTATGGGAATGCTGAGCCACTCCGGGAGTGTGTGCAGAGACAGGTCCACCAGCCAGCAGAGACTTGGAATAATTACCCACATTGTGTTTATTAAGCAACGTATGGCTCAGGGCACCCACTCATCATTGTGCAAAGGGATTTTATTGGGTTACAGATTGAAGAGTACAAGATAGCACCAAAGGCAATTCAGTACATCTGTGACTTATTCATACACAATTAAGGTTAAGCAACTTTAATATACCCTGTATTTTACCAATTCACACAATGCCAGAAGGAAAAAGCTCAGACAACTCAAGGCAATATCATGAAACTTGGTTTCTAATTAGAAAACATGACTGGATTTAGCAGCAAGGACTCTTCATAAATATATTCTTCTGACTAGTGGGTTTTCCGTATTCTCCATTCCTTGGAATTATACATTTAAATACAGAAAAAAGATATTATCTTCTTAATAACCATGTATGAGGCCTATCATCATCTAATTAAACTAAGACATTTCTCTTGAGGAAGTTAACTTTATTACGTCCCCAACCGAAGAAACCACATTTGGCAAACAGGATGTAAACTAAAGCATAGAAGAGACTGGCTCAATCTTGAAGCAGGGTCTTCTCCTATTACAAAAAGATATCCTGGAATCCAGAAATACCCTGGCCTAGATAAAACCCTAACAGTTTTTTTTTTCTTTTATTTACAAACTGATTGCATCACTCTCAAAGCGGAAGTAGTTGATATCTAACAATTTGATTTAAAAATAAAGCAGCTGTTAGTTAATGTCACTGGGATCCAGGTTAAACAGGCATTGCAATTAATTAGATAAACTATACTCTTCTGAAGTAAGACCAGTTTTATTATTGGCTCCTGACATCAGGACCCAAGCCCCAGGACCAGGAATGTTCCATGACTCATGGCTTTATATATATAGTTATTTATAAAAGAAATACAATCAAATTCATCACATTCTGGAAATGCAGTTATTATGATATGTAGCAAAATAATCCATTCCATTATCCAAAAATAGAAATCCCTTCCAGGAAACATCTTTCATAGAAGCCCAGAGCAGAACTAACTGAGGAAGTTAAAATGTCATGAAAAGTGGTATGTAATCCAATCCTCCAGGTGGCGTTCCGGCACCTGGAGCCTCATTTCCTGCAGAGCCCCTCCTGCACAGGCACAGTGGGCAGCAACCTTCCCTGTGGTCCCTCACAGTTCCAGGAAACTGGAAGGAATCCAACTGAATGGCTGGCAAAGCAGTCCTTCTCTAGACAATATTTTCCAACTTGGTCAACAGTAGCAACATTAGAGGCTTTTATAGGCCAAGTTAGGTCAAAATATGGATCTTCTGTCTCCTTTTCAAAGTGGTCCTGCTACAACCCAATTGCCTAGTCATGAATTAGAACAGGAGGTAAATGCTGACCTATGGAAAATCCCTGTCTCTTACCAGAGGTCCCCTTCCCTTTTGCTGGAGGTGGCAGCAGCTCATTGGAGGAAGGAGGGGGCATAGGGAACATCATTATTGGTACCATGTGGGAAAAGGACATTAGTCTGGGAATACGCCGCTGCCAGTAATGTTGCTCAGTAAAGGAGAGAAATGATAGGAGAACTGCAGTCTACAAGGTTTGTGCTTTTGGAAAATCATATTTGTAAATGTTCAACTTCAAAACTCGAAAGATTACAGAAGAGACGGCCTTTGGCCAGGCAAAGGCCCAAATGGAGGAAGGACCCTGGGATGGGCCAGCGTGCCAGAGCAGAGTGTTGGGATGCACATGCAGGCGTTAGGTAGACAGAGCATTCCAGTGGTAAGTGATATAGACCAGCACTAAAAAGAGAAGATGGACAAGACAGAAGCCTATAAGGTCCCTGGAGCGGAGGGCGAAAGTTGATTGTGGGGGTTTCTCCCCGAGTGCCAGTAGAGTATCAACAGTCTTTCGAATGTGACGAAAATCCAACTGCAGGATGTCACACGGAGAGCACAGGTCAGCCTATTCCGAGGGCAGCCATTAGAACAGAAAGAGACAGTGCATACGATTAAAAATACACAGAAGAACAGCTGCAAAGAAGCACACATTGTTGGTTACTAGCACATAGCAGGAGTAACCCCTTACTCAAGCTGGTAAAAACCTTTTGCACCAATATTTCTTAATACAGTACAAAAAAAGTGCATGGCTCAACATGGTTTTAGGTCAACAGGTCAAAGAATTCCTTTAGTCAGAATTTTACTAAATATTCTGCAATTTATACACAGTCTGGCATTCAACAAGCTTTTATTTCAAGTTTCATGTGCTCACCTGTGGCATAAAAAATTAGAGCTTTTCATTAAAACATTTATGGCTTGGGCCCGGCGCGGTGGCGCAAGTGGTTAAAGGTCCTCGCCTTGCACGCCCGGGATCCCATATGGGCGCCGGTTCTAATCCCGGCAGCCCCGCTTCCCTTCCAGCTCCCTGCCTGTGGCCTGGGAAAGCAGTCGAGGACGGCCCAACGCTTTGGGACCCTGCACCCGCGTGGGAGACCCGGAAGAGGCTCCTGGCTTCGGATCGGCATAGTATCGGCCCGTTGCGCTCACTTGGGGAGTGAATCATCGGACGGAAGATCTTCCTCTCTGTCTCTCCTCTCTGTATATCCGCCTTTCCAATGAAAAAATAATAAAAATAAATCTTTAAAAAAAAAAACATTTATGGCTTAACCCTAATGGAAAAAATATAAACGTTTAAGGATCAATCCTCATCTCTTTTCTTTGAATCTTTTTCTATGGTCTGTATTGACTCAATATAAAGTATTTTCACTGTGAAAGTTGACGCATAATCTAATTTATTTCCAATTTAGAATTGTCAACCAATTCTGGGGAACCCAAGTTCTAACTATGTCTCTATGTGTCAAAAATACATTTGATTTCACATTTTGACAAATACACCTTAATCAAAAGTCTAGACAAGACTTCTTGAATGTGCAGTTAAAATAAGAGGACATTCTCCCATAGGTTATTATATAGATCCCTTCCTCACTAAAGAAGGATGGTGGGGTACTGCTAGGTCATGTCCATTTGATAGTTACCATATAAGCAGGTGGAGTATCTACTACATCAATGAAATGCCAATGTAGCATGAATTGACTTCCAGTAGCCTACTGTGGTCAGGAAGTAGTTTTCTGAGATACTGATTTCCTAAATCAGGAATGACCGAAACTGAAAAATTAACAGTGATTACAACTGGTATGTCAACTGAGGCCTTGCCTCCAAATGCAACAAGATTTGAAAATATCTGTGATGCATTTCATCAATATAGCTCCATTTCCCAGTTAGGCAAAGCTTTTTAAAAATATATGAAAGTGATGATTCTAAAATAGAGGTTTTGTCTTTCTTGTATTCTCTGAATTTAGCTTGATATCCTCCTGCAGGGAGGAATACAATATCAGGTGGGTTGGATAAGATTATAACACCTAGACAATTTTATTTAGGAATGTAGAGCTATTCCTATGGGATTTTCAGATTAATAAATCATGCCATACCTCTTCAGATCTTACATCTTCTCTCAGTAGATTTGCAAGGATTGCAAACCTACCATTGTTAGAGTCTCTCAAGAAACATAACAGCGACACACAGATCGGATTTCACTGGGAGACATGTTGGTTAAGCAGTCACAGATGGGGAAACATCTACGTTTCCTATTGCAATGATAATGTTTGACTGCAATGCTGTGTTTACCAGTGATCTGAGCAAAGTAGACACAGGATGGAAGATGACGTGCATATTGAATTGTGATTTGCACATGAGTGGTATTTCTAGATTACAAGTATACCATTCCATCTCCAAGACATTTCCCAGGATCCTGAGGACCCAGGCTGACCAGAAACATCAAGTGACCAAGAACTCAAGTGAGACAGTCTGTGCAGCTTCAATGGATTTAGGTGCGCACTCCTCATGGAGGAGGCAAGCAATACAGGCCAGGCTTCTCATCCTGAAACAACTGCATCATGTCCAGGGTTGGGGTTCTTTTTTTTTTTTTAAAGATTCATTTTATTTTTATTGGGAAGTCAGATATATAGAGAGGAGGAGAGACAAAGAAGATCTTCCGTCCCCTGATTTACTCAAGTGGCTGCAACAGCTGGAGCTGACCTGATCAAAAGCCAGGAGTCCCGAAACCAGAATCACTTTCAGGTCTCCCCCCCAGGGGTACAGGGGCTCAAGGTTTTGGGCTGTCCTCAACTGCTTTCCCAGGCCACAAGCAGGGAGCTGGATGGAAAACGAAGCTGCTGGGATTAGAACTTGTGCCCACATGGGATCCTGGTACATGCAAGGTGAGGATTTAAGCTGCTAGGCTATTGTGCCAGGCCCACAGGTTTGGGGCTTTATCAAAGCAGGTGAGGCATAGTGACAGTCTACAGTGGTAGATTTCAAAGAACCACTGTGGCAGGCATTGGACCTGATGGTTAGGATCCCTGCATTCTATACTGGAGTGCGTGAACTGAACGCTCTCTAAATCATAACTAGAGTTCCCAGATACTGCAATCCCTTGGAGGCAGCAGTGATGGCCCAAGTAATTGGGTTCCTGACACCTGGTTATGTTACTGGTTTCCAGTTTTGCCTTGGCCCAATCTTGGTCATTTTAGTCATTTGACAAATGAGCAAGAAAATGGCAGTGTTGTCTTGAGTTCTCTCCCTCTCCCCTCTCAAACACATCAGCTAAAATAAAGCAGTAAAAATAAAGTTAAGGAAAGGCGTGTATGCAGAACTTCAGGTTGCTGTAACTGCAAACTACACTGGGATCTTAAAATACACACAATAAATAAGTGAATAAAATACAAACTAAAATCAAGATCACTTGAAAGAAAAAGGAATGGGTCTGAGCCTGACAGGTAAAAATCCAGACCACAAAAATTCACGGTCATAAAGTATAAAACATGGGCCACTGTGGCCACCTGATAACTAGTCACTGATTCCAACCCATGTTGCACAGCCAAAGGCAGTCAGATCGAGCCCTTGCATAAGGCGGTCACGCACACCAGGGCTGCAATTCCCAAGGAAACCATGGATCTTCTGACCAGTGCTTTCCAAAAGAGTCCACATGAGAGGGACGTAGATATTATATTTCACATTCTTCCTGAAAAATTTAAATCGGAAAACTAGTTAGGAAGGAAGAAAATGTAAGCAGGTAAAGTTAACCACGTTTTTACAGAGCAACTGTTATTTATTGGAAAGCATCTGAAATCCACAGTTAATTCTGTCAGTCCAAATCACTGCAGAGGCAAGTGCAATGATCACTCCCACTCAGGTGAGCAACAGTTACAACTGCTCAGAGAGAACACAGGCTCCTTGTTCCCTAAACATGATGGATACAAACAGAAATGGAGGAGAAAGTCTGGTGTTTATGGAAGTTTCAAGTGTCAAAATTCTAAGAGGTAACTCTAAGTTTCATGTAGACATCTGGAATATATTTAATTTACTTAAATATAATTCCAGGAATATTTAACACTCTGAAATGTACAGCTCTCAGGGGACAGACATGTGGATTTCCAAGTTTCTCCAATCCTACGACAATGAACTACCTCTTGATGAAATTAGAAGGTCATTCAAGTACCATAAATTTATTTAAAAATTTATGTTGAAGCTTTGTGATGGTGGTGTTTCCCTGAAAATTTTTTAAAGATTTATTTTTTTTAATTTCAAAGTCAGATATACAGAGAGGAAGATCTGTCATCCCTTGATTCACTCTCCAAGTGCCCACACAGTTGGAGCTGAGCTGACTCAAGGCTTTGGGCTGTCCTTGACTGCTTTCCCAGGGCACAAGCAGGGAGCTGGATGGGAAGTGGGGCTGCTGGGATTAGAACCGGTGCCCATATGGGATCCCGGGTATGCAAGGTGAGGACTTTAGTCGCTGGGCTACTGCGTTGGACCTGATGGTAGTGCTTCTAAGCCAATTTAATCTCAATCACACACACTATTTATTCTCAACCATATACATGTAAAAGTCTGTCAGAACACTGACCACAGGTAACCAGGAGTCCTGCACCTAGCAAGCTATATTTACATGAAAATAAAGGCATAATTTACAAAAGAAATTGACACAAGAGATAGCCTGGTTGTTTTAGGAAATTACGTATCTAAAAGTTAATGTTTACAATAACAATGAGCCTGCCAGTCTGAACCTTTGGTTATTCAACACTAACAATCAGTAAAAATGGAAAATTCAAATTAATCTTACAATGAGAGTCTTAGTTTTTCCCACACAGAATTTTAAACTGATATTGAATTTAGGGGAAGAACAAGAGGCAGAAAAACTTAAAGAGGATAAGAAACTATTTTTTCTGATTGCTGATTGAAACAAAAATAAATATAGCTTCAATATAGACTATCTTTGAACAGCATCTTCACAACAGGCTCAAACAGAAGAGCTGATGCTCACTAGGATGCCTGCATCTCATATCAGAGTACTAAGGTTTGTGTCCTGGCCCACTTCTGAGTTCAGCCTCCCACAGACATAGATCCTGAGAAGTAGCAGCTGATGGTCCAAGTAACTGAGATCCTGCCAACCTTGAGGGAGACCCAGCTCCCCACTTGCCCATAGAGCAGCATGTGGCAGCCATCTCAGGAGTGTTTCTCTGAGTATCTCTCTGCCTTTCAAATAAGTAAGTACTTCCAAATGTAACATATTATAAAACACAATAAAATGCAAATATGAAAGTTATTAAAACAAAGAAAATCTCTAATTCCAGTCACAGTAACATAATTACTTTTAGCATCTGAATACATTTTAGAATGTTTTCACTCTAATTGGCTGATGTAGAAACCAAGGAACAAACAGACCTGTCTCAGTGAACATGGAATGACAACCCCCTGCCTCCTACAGTGCTGAGAAAACGCCTGGGAGTCCCGGCCTGGCAGGAAGGGGCCATGGGCTGCCAAGAACTCCACACTACTGAGTCTGCTTCTGCACATTTTCCTCTGGAGTCAGTGATGAAGATGAAGGGCTAGATATCAACCAGCTGGTACATTTCCATTTTGTGTTCCTTACTCATTTAAAGAGGGCAAGTCGATTACATTAAGAAACTCACTTCCCACAAGGGTCTGAGACCAAGGCTTCATATTTAAGATTCAATAGACAAATTTCCCTGGTGAACCAAATAAATACTTGCTCTCTCGCTCTCGCTCTCTCTCTCTCTACTTCACAACTGGAGCTCTCTCTTGATGAAACAGTCCTAAAATGGCTCCAAATCTGGATGGATTTGGAAAGCACAACAGCCAGCTATGAAATGACTATCCTTAGGCTGGAAGCCAGGAACAGACAAGCTGATCAAAAACAGTAAAAGAAAATTCAGCATACCAATACAAAGCCTATGAGCCCAAGACTTACTAGACTCAGACTGCTGTGTGGTACAAAGAGTATATCCTGGAGAATCTGGAATCCCACATGGCTAATTTTCAAGACCAAGTTGACAGAGTCAAAACAGGAGCATCATCTGACCAGCCCATATCAATACCACATTGCACAGTGCCTCACCCAGCCTGTAATTCCGGGTAGAGCCAGTCTGATGAAGCCCCATGTAGAGATAAGCCACATTTTCTGTAGAAAGTAGGCATATCACTGGGGGACCCCAATCCAGGGAATGGGGGTGATTCCCTGCCACATTCTCTGCAGATACATTTCCCTAATATTCAACAAACAATAAACTGCTTCTGATGCACACATAAAAGTTTCATAAACTGTGATCGACCCTGAAACGAAAATTTGGTGTCAGATTCACAAAGATCTCTAAAGAAAACATTATAAACTATAGCAATTAGGACAATTTAAAAATTGCTTCCATCCTATTGAATGACTTGGTGGGTAGTAATAGCTAAATTGCTCAGTCACTGTATTCCACTTACATGTATCTGATACAATTGTACAAAGTACAGATTCTGGCTTGTGGCTTCAATTGTCATTCTATCATAAAGGGCAAAATCTCAAACTTAGAGCATAGCTGTGACTCTTCAGGCTGTCCTGCAAAATTCACCCCAGGCATTTAACATACAGAAGGCAGGACAAGTTCTCTGCAGTGTGTGTGCATACAGATGGCAAAACTAGTGGAAAAACACCACAATGTAGAGGAAATTAACTATATTGATTAATGCATAATAAATGAGTGTCACCCAAATAAGAAGTCCGATGCAAGAGGAAAAAGTAACAGCGTAGACTCTATGTTTTGTCAGGTGCCAGTCCTTTGAAATGCCTACTTTTAAATGGAGAATTTCTGCAAGTGGTTTTGTGATACAATTATCTGTTTAATACAATCACCAGTTGCACTGTGCCAGGTAGGTATTCAAACAACACTCCTCCTAAAAAGTAAAAAAGCATAAAGAACTAAGGAGGGGGGAGCCACGTGACCCACCTCTCTAAAGAGCACATTTTCTCAAGCATTCTGTAGGCCAAAAGTTTACTGTTTGGAGCACAACAGCAAGACAGATCAACTGCTTTCTAATTGGGAATGTTCCTTACTTCCTCTACCATTCTTACTAATGGAGTACAACTGCTAGCAGATTTTTATGGTAGTAATGAACTTAAAGTAACTCTAATAATCAGTAAAGTGCTACTGGATACTCACGTCTCAAAAAAAATCACCTTAAATCTTGAATTACTTAAAAAATATTGTAAGCCCCCACCCTAATTGGTTATCCACATGGGCATGCATCTTTTTTAACTATGTAAACACCGAAAAATGAATTTAACATTAAAAATATTGTAATCTATCTACATTTTACCAAGCATAGTTAACTGGGATATTGGCCAAGAAGATCATTTCCTGTATTTCAACTTTCTTGGGAATTGTGAGTTGCCTATTAGTGTTAGGGCCCCTCTGCTAAGGGCATAACTTGCAAATTATGTTAGATTTTGCTCTGCATTTTATGGTAATTTAATTTCCTTCTTCTCACTTAAAAGGAAATTATAATTACCAATCTTGACTCACAATAAATGGCTTGGGGCACTTCCACTTAATTTTGTCTCACTGTAAGCCAAAAATCACTGATGAATTTTCAGAAAATCATACAAGGTCAGATGATAACTCATCAGTGTTTTCTAGCACACACATGAATAATTTATCATGAAACTAGGTCTGAGAGTTTTGGTTCACTCATGGGAAATCTTGGCAACCCATACAGAATCCCCTCATTAGAAAAGGTACGTTAAGTATTTCAGATACATACAAAGCTAACATTCAGAAACTACTGAGACCCATAGATAAACATCATTGAAAGAAAAGCTGACCACAGAGACAAACAGTCCATCATCAAAAGGAAAACAAAAGCAGGTTTAAAAACTGCACTGAAAGTTTGCCTTTACTGATACAGGACAAACTTATTCCTAATGCTCTCCTTTTCCTAAAACCTTATTAGAAACCAGTCACTAGTCCCGACTTCTAAACCCCACCAAACAAAAAACAAAAACAGAGGGAAAACAAAATAGGGAAAAAGAAAGACGGAGAGAAGAGGAAAAGTCCTTTTTGTCTATTTCCGTAGGGTAATTCTTTCCATACTCAATAAAATCTTATTTTAGTTGTTTTATCTTTGGGACATTAGGAAACCAAAAGATCATAAGAAATACAATTTCTATCCCTTTCTGTTTATCACAATGAAATACACTTAGAAGACTAACTCCAAAATTCAGGTTGTCTGGCTCCTGTCTACCCAAGAAATACTTTTCTGTTACTAATGGTACAGATTTTTTTTCAGTTTTATTATTATTGTTACTATTATTTTCCATGATACTGTTTTGTAAGTATAGAGATTCCCCCCTCCACCTCCTTTTCCTCCTTTCCCACATTCCCTTCCTCCTCTCCCCCCATATTATATCAACAGAATAGTCCTTCAGCAACAGTCAGAAGTCTAACATTCTGCTATTTAAGGGGGTCATGGCATTGCAGGTATAGACAATGGTGGGAAATCTAGTATCATATGGCAAAGCATCAAGATCCACTGTTTCCCCAAGAAGAAATGGTGCCAGGCTGTGTAGTTGGGTTGGCTGCAGAGAACTGCCAATTGGGCCCACAGCTGACTACAGAAGAGAATGTAGATGTAAATTATTAACAAACTATAAAGTAGCACATGTATACTATTATTATTTAGGAAAATAATAACGGTATGTGTAATATTTTCAGTGTTGATTATTTTGATTTGCATATCAAAAATACAACCATGGGGAACAAAAATCTACAAGCAGTCAATGACTGCAGGTCTTTTCAGAAGGCTGGGTCTGAAGAGAGCCTGCACCTGCCCAATTTTCCCCCACTGCACCTTAGAAGGCTCACTTGCAGCCTCAGCAATTTCTACCCTTAGATGAACCACAAGCTGATTTATTTTTTGATGTTTAGGATTTCTTCAGTATTTCAAAATTTGCACAATTATTTTCCTCCCCAGAACTGCGCACTCTGTAAAGTCACTATAATTTCACTTCAGTACAGCAGTTTTGACTAATTTATTCAATGATATTCCTTTCTGAGACTTAAAAGGATACTTTACATCCATTCAAAGTCTCAAATACACATTTTAAATCAATATTTCACCATAAAACAGTTACTGGAATCACGTTTGATGTTACCTCTGGTACTCCTAATTTTCGGCATGCTTCTAAGAAGTTTTCCACATTTCTTCTGCACTTGGCCATGCTAAGTTTGGGCTGGAGACACAAATATATAGAAGAGTGCATTAATAAAATAAGAAGATGTTCAATAAAATGTTATAATTTTAAACTACATTATGAATGTCACAGATAATGCATGTTTCTCAGAGAAACAGAAGAGTTTACTAGCAAATTCCAAAGATGTCCAACATCATTCAGAACATTTAGGTCAGTCTAGAGGAAACCAAGGGAAAACCACATTTCAGGCTCCATAAAGATAATTCATCACCTCTCAAAGTGAGGGAGGACTCATTCTAAGATTATTATCTAGATTCATGCAGAGAAGCATGTGAAGTAAACGCAATGATTGAAGATTTAACCTCATCATTTGCCAAAACATCAAGGTTTTGACCGAGCAGATGTTAAAGGGCTGAGAGGATTTGAGGATGGCACTTCTCAGCGTAGAGAACCATCTGTACCCATACTCAAACAGAGAGCAAAGCCAGTGCTATAAATGGATGGAGAGTTGGTTCTGTGGCTATAAGAGATTAGCCTGGGCTGCCACTGGTAGAGGATGAATGCCTAGGATTTATAAAGCACTCAAGAGAGCTTACAATAAACAAGCAATCCAGTTAAGAAATGGGCAAAAACTATGAATAGACAATTATCAAAGGATGAAACCAAATAATCAACAGACACAGGAAAAGATGCTCAGGATCACTAACCATCAGGGAAATGCAAGTAAAAACCACATCTCCTGTCGCAACAAAGACTAGTGCACAATATGGAATGCCAAGGTGAGGTTGCCTGTACTGGAAGGGACCGCAGTGCCCAACCAGCAAGCGTGAGAACAAGGAAGGGAGGGGGCAGAGCAGGCAGGGGAAAAAGGGAGGGTTCCTTTGCTGGACAGCTACTCCCACTGGAGAGCGTGGGCTGGGTTGGGGGCAGACCAGACTAGGCAGGGTTACAACACCTGTGATCCTCAAGTGGACTAGATCAGGGAAAAGCCGCACTGGGCTGATTATTCCTACTGGTGCAAACAAAATTAGAGTGGGTGAGGGTTGTAGGGGCTTAGCCACAGCATCAGCTGGCAGAAGCTGGCACTGGGGGCTAGTTCTGTTAAGTCAAACCACAGAACTATCTGGAGAGTGCATAATCTGGAGTGGGAGAGGCCTAGGAGGGAAATAGTGGGCTCCTCCCTCTTGGGTTACCACTTCCACGGGAGGACATAAAACTAGGACAGCGGCTGGGGTGGTATGGGGTGTGGGACAGACTGGATTACTGGTGCACATACTGGCAATCCAGGGTAGGGGGCGGGCCTGGTGGGGGTTACTGTGGGTTGCTCCAACTACGCTGCAGCTCCCACTGGTTTATGCGAGGGCCAAGTATGTGCTGGGCAGAACCAGGCTGGACAGCAACACCCACTGGTTCCAGTGGAAGTCGGGAGTGAAAACAGAACCAACCCAGCAATTGCAACCACCAGCTGATTGGGGCAATAGACTGTGCTGGGCCCTGTACTTGCTAGCACATACAAGAATCTAGTTTGAAAACACCTCGGACAAAGTTTCTTTGGAGATCTCCCCAATCAAAATGCTGGACTCAGAACCCTAACCAAGAGAAGAGAGAAGACAGAACAGGTCAACCAACCATCTCAGCTACATGTTGGCAGTGAAATACGGGGCAAACAGAGACTCTATGATGGACTATGTCAATCAGTGGATTCTTCAAGGACCTCATTGCGCTTGGAGTGGCAAAATTGGCAGCGATTCATAACTGTTGAAATATCAAATCCATTTGAGCAAGAACCTCAGAGCATACCCTACATCCAGGACCTGGGGAGGGTGGGAAATTGGGTGGGCCTTCTCCTTTAATACCCCCCTTTAAACATGAAGGAAACAATATGGAAAAAATAATAGTCTTACCCACTTTCCTGTAGCTCTTGAACCTTTTTACCCTAATTAACTATGTAAAGATTGTCAAAATATTTTTAAAAAACAAAAACAAAAACAAACAAACAAAACACATCTCCTAACCCCAACTGGAATGACTGTCATCTGAAAACCAAAAAATTGCAACTGCTGGTGGGGATGTGAGGAACATGGTACCCTAATAATGTGAGCTAGTATAACCATTATGGAAGACAGTTTGGAGATTTCTTAGAGATCTGAAGCAATCTACCATAAGATCCAGCCATTCTACACCCGGCATTTTACCCAAATAAAACGAAATCTGTATTTCACTTATCTGTACCTCCATGTTTATTTCAGCTCAATTCATGATACTAAGATATGTTATCAACTCTGATGTCCATCAATTGATGATTGTATAAACAAAAGGTGGTGTATACACTCACATACATAGACTATGGAATGCTAATTAGTCATAAAAACGAAATTCTGTCTTTCACAAAAAAATGGATGCAACTGGAAACCATTACAATTACTGAAATAAGAGAGTCCTCTCACACATAAAATAACTATAATGTTTTCTCCAATATGCGAAAGATAATGTAGAATACAAAAAAGTACAGTAATAAAACACACATTTAATGTATGATTATTATTTATGCCTTTGTTTATACTTTTGTAGAACTGTGGCCTTGCTACTTTTACTTGTTGAATATGATGGTAAGTGATGAATTAACCCTATGATTATAGACTGGACTGGACTAAAAATATTAAAAATTTAAAGAAAAAAAAGAAAGAAAGGAAGGGGATTTAGCGAAGGAAGGAAAGAATGGCTATCTTTTCAGAACTGTATATACAAAATACATGACATCTATTCTCTTCATATTAATGAAATTTTTAGAAGGAGCTCACTGGAGAAAAATATACACTTAAGCTGTACAGATGTTTTAAATTTTTGTTTGTCTTATTTAAAAACAGAGACACAGAAATCTTTCATCTTCTGGTTCATTCCCAAGGTGTCTGGGACAGCCAGGGCTTGGTCAAGCCCAAGACAGGAGCTGTGACCTCAATCTGGGTCTTCCATGCAGATGGCTGGAACCACACTATTTGAGTCATCAGCTGTTGTCTCCTGCAGAGTGGCAGCTGGAAACAGGATAAGAGCTGTGACTCAAAACCAGCCACTCCATTATTGGAAAGAGATATCTCTACTGGTGTCACAGCCAGTACACACAATGCCTGCCTTGCAAGTTGTACTTCTAACTATAATTATATTGTTATAATACATTCTTTTGTTTATTGATTGATGATTTAATTACTTGTTTGAAAGAGAGAGAGACATGGCAGAAACAGAGATTATCTGCTGGTTCATTTACTAATTGAAGGTAACAGCCAGGGCTTAGCCAGGCTGAAGCCAGCAGCCTGGAATTCCATCTGAGTTTCCCGTGTACGTGCAGGGACAAGTGGAGAGAAAGAAATAGAGAGGAGAGACCTTCCTCGGGTAATTCACTCCTCCAATGGCCCCCACAGCTAGGCCAACCTGAAGCCAGAAGCTTCTTTTGCGTTTCCTACATGGGTGCAGGGGCCCAAGCCCTTGGGCCATCCTCTGCTGCTTTCCTGGGCATATTAGCAGGAAGCTGGCTAGAAGTGGAACAGCTGCAACTTGAACTGGCACTCACAGTGACTTAGCCTCCTAGGCCATAGTGCTACCCCTAAGACATTTCTAAAATGCTCTAACCTTTTCCTAAAAGAATTAATAAAATGCCAAGGTATTTCAAAAATTCATGGAAATACATAACTATGAAGACTACACATGGATTTAAACATGATTTTCCCCAAAATAAACCTAATTTTTACTTTAATTTCCCATGAGCTTGCTCTAGTATGCCTATATCCTAAGGAATATGAATGCACAATAGATGGTGCCTTCTTATGTGCTGTAAAATGGTAACAGCACATTCAAGTTGGTGGTCAAGGAGTCCGTAGCATCTCTCTCATATTTTGGGAAAGACATTAACATTTTCTCTTAAGCTATTAACAGAGAAACTAACACTCAGCTCAGACAACTTCAAGGCAGCTTGGTCCCAGTTTGTAAAATATACTGGCTGGTTTCCTACTGCATCACAGGTCAGAACTACTGTCCTACGTCACACTGCTGGGGCAAATATGAAACAGGCAAAATAGTTGTTCTTTTCACAGTGTTCTGAGGGAAAAGGTCGGGTGTTAGTGAATGTTTGCATGAAAAACTTATGTTCAATATTTCAGAAGGAAACAGACAACTGAAATGGTATCACATCAGATCCTCCTTCCTGCTGCCATGAGAAAAGGAAGCAGAACAAATAAGAGTATGTACTGTGATTAGATGGTAATTTAGAAACATTGTGCCTTGAAATTAGGCCTCCACATTATAAAAATCTGTGACAAAAAATCTGGTGTGTGTGTGTGTGTATAAATGTATACATACATAAATATATTAAAATTATTTATATAACTATATATACATATACATATAATATCATAATGGAGTTTTATATCTGCATGTATATTACATAGCACCTCATCCTCACAAGAACATTCCCATTACAGGAAAGTGCAAATCATGTTGAAGAGATAATGCATAACTTACCCCAGGTCATAGTGCTTTCAGAAGCAGATCTGGAAGTTTCATCTAAACCATGCATGCTTAGCACTTCAACCTGTCTGTCTCTTCTAGTAAACAGGGGAGAGCAGACATTGTTCTCTTTTTGGCTGGATCCCAAGCAAGCCTCCTATGAACTGATGATGGGAGCACTATTCTGGCTCATGTCTAGGATGATACTCTAGGCAGCTGTCATCTTCCCTACCAGGGAGGTGAGGATTTGGTGGGGCGATTAATGGAGTCTCGCATTCTCCCCTCCCACCTCTAGAATGTCACTGAGCTCAGTGACTGATGGAGTTTTTGTGGAACTCCCCAGTGGCTGCCAGCCCCCTGCTCGTTTGACAAGGTTACCAAATGGTATTTTCCAGATTCCACATCATTTCAGACCTGTACTAAAATCTCCAATGAGGAATCTAGGAGAGAGATTCCATGCAGAAGGAAAGCGACTGACCGCACAAAGCTTCCCACCATGACTTCTTACTGTTGAGCAGCAAGTAAAAAAGGAAGCTTCATGTTCCTATAGCATCTCATATACTTTCTTTAAATTTGACATGTGAGATCACATTACTCTCCTGTTACCTGCAGAAGATGAAATATTCTCCATCTCTACAGTGAAAATGCCGATTCAGCTCCCTGCCTTTGTTTTTGTTTGTTTTTCTACTATTTATGGCCCAAGAGAAAGAATCACCCTGGCATCTTTAACCAACTATACAGTCTAGTTAGTGTCCCCTTAGAGAGTGTTTACTTACAACTGCTGGTGAGGGGACATGGATGCTCGCGACGGATCGTGGGCGGATGTGGTTGACCAGATGGCAGAGCACAACACCATCCATGAGTGCAGCCCCCAGGTCTTCATGCAGACTGACCTTCAGTCTCATTTCAATGCTCTGGTGGGGAGATCAGAAGGAAGTCAGCTGAGGGGAAGGAGTCAACTGAGGGGAAACAGGCTGTGACCTGGCCCTGCCTCAGCTTTGCAGACATTTGAGAATCGAACCAACACACCAAGATCTCTGTCCCTCTTTCTTTGACGCTCTGTCTTTCAATAAGTAAATCTCTAACTAGTAGAATGAAAAAACTGATGAAATTACTTCTTGACATGAATGTTTCTTCAGCCTTGGTTATTAATATGAAAAACCAGAATGACTTGATAAAAACCAAACTTGATGGATTTGGACAGACTACATGGAGTAGAAGATAGATTAAGAGATGCCTTTCACTTGGCCTATGTTTCAGCTCAGAAATAAATTTTTAACCTTTTAAAAAAATTTCTCTGATAATTTTGACATACTTCTAGACTCATGCTTTTGTAAGAGATATAGCACAGGGTGAACATGGTGGCATGCTACATTAATCCTCTGCTACTGGTGCCAGCATCCCATATGGGTGCTGGTTTGAGTCCTGGGTGCTCCACTTCCTGTCCAGCACTCCATGACTGGTCTGGGGAAGCAGTGTAGGATGGCCCAAAGCCTTAGGCTCATGCACCCATGTGGGAGACTCAGAAGTCCCTGACCTCCAGCTTCAGATCAGCCCAGCTCTGGACATATAGGCTATTTGGGAAGTGAATGCATCTCTCTCTCTCTCTCTCTCTCTCTCTCCTCTCTCTCTCTCTCTCTCTCTCTCTCTCTCTCTCTCTATATATATATATATATATATATATACATGTATATAATTTTGCCTTTCAAATAAAAATTTTAAAAAATCATAAAAAAATAAAATATCCCATGTACCCTTGGCCTAGTTCTCTACAATGGCAACAATTTCCTAAAACAACTGGAATACTGCCATCATGGTCAAGATAGACAACATTTTAGGTCCAGTACTGTGATGTAGTGAGCTAAGCTACTACTCCCATATCACCATCCCATTTCGAACTGCTTGTTAAAATCCTGGGTGCTCCATTTCTGATTTGGCTTCCTGATGAGTGGAGAGTGTTGAAAGGTGAGTGGCCCTGTGCTTGGGCCCCTGAATTAACCACAGGATCTCAGCGTGATGCTAAGAGGTTGCTGTCTTTGAATTCTTTCCTCCTGATTAGCAGCTCACCATACATAAAGGGTCACTTTTCAGCACAAACTTGCTTAACTATCTCAATTCCACCTTATACTTTCTTTACAGAACTCATGTCTCATCTGTACAACTTATTGCTCTCTGCAGTTCTCTATGTTCCCTTTTCTTCACTATCTGTTCCTGGGAGACTGTAGGGGTCTCTCTATTCTTCCCGGATTCATCACTCAGGATATCAACTGGCAGGGAGAGAAAGTCTACAAATACTGGTTATAAAAGATTTAACATAAAATCTTCTTCAAGAAGCTCTCCTATACTCTTCTTGCTCATAGCTATGGTATTTCCCTCTAAATCTAAAGAACTAATCTAGCAATTTACAATGTGCTGCCTTTGATGAAGAAAACCCTATCTTACTCCTTGGTGATTGACCTTTGTGCTGCTATTTAACCTTCCACACAAAGTTGTTCCTTGGTATTTATGGAGGATTGGTTCCAGCATGCCCCCATCCAGTCCTCAAGATTCCAAAATTCCATGGAGGTTCAAGTGCCTTAAATAAAATGGTGTAGTCTTGGTAGTCATCTACACATATCCTTCTATATACTAGAAAGCATTTCCAGATTACTTTGAATAAGGAATCCAACATAAATTCTATAGACATAGCTGTTAATCTGACCATTCAGGGAATATTAATATAAGAGGTCTGTGCATTCCACTGCAGATGAAATTGTTTTTTTCTTTTTCTTTTTCTTTTTCTTTTTTTTTATTAACAGATGGCTTTGATGCAGTTTTGGACTCTGTGGACATGAATCCAACAGTTAGAGAGTTGGCTATACTTATTTCTGATTTTCCTAAGTGGGAACAGTAACCATGAAGGTAGACAGGCCTTCCAGGAGCTAAGAAATACCACGAGGAACAAGCCAATGCCCTGCTATGGCCAGGGACCAAGCTTAAAATCTTACACTTTTAAAAGAACTCAGATGCTCAGAACAAGATGGCATCCTTGGGCTGGGTATGGTAGCCTAGCCCTCACTTCACATGCACCAGGATCCCATATTGTATGGTGCCAGTTTGTATCCCGGCTGCTCCACTTTCCTTCCAGCTCTCTGCTTGTGGCCTTGGATGGCCCAGGACCTTGGGAACCTGTGTCCACATGGGGGACCCTGAGGAAGCTCCTAGCTCTGGTCTGGTCTGGATCTGGCTGCTACAACCCTTTGAGGGTTACGCCAGTGGATGCAAGACCTTATTCTCTGTGTTTCCTTTTCTCTGTGGCTCTTTCAAATAAGTTAAAAAATTTTTTAAAAACTTATTTATTTGAAAGTTACAAAGACAGATATTTGAGAGAGATCTCCCATCCACTGGCTTATTCCCCAGATGGCCACAATTTCAGGTATTGACCAGGCCACAACAGGAGTTTCTTCTGGGTCTCCCACATGGGTGCCAGGGCCTAAGCACCTGGGCTATCATCCACTGCTTTCCCCAGGTGCCTGAGAGAGCACCTGGCTAGACCAGAAAAGGACCAGCCAGGACACAAACTGATAGTCTTATGGGATACAAGCAACATAGGCAACAGGTTGTTATTATGTCATAATACCAGCTCCCAAAGTGTTTTTCAGAAGTCTATTTATTTGTACTTATTTGGAAGGCAGAGTAACACAGAAAGATTTTCAATTTGCTGTTTCACTCTCCAAATGCCCACCACAGCCAGGAGTGGGCAGGACTGAAGCCAGCCGCACAGAACACAATCCTAATTCCTCACATGTTGGACAAGCACCTTGAGTACTGGAGGCCTCACCAGCTGCCTCCAGGTAGGGGTGTGTGTGTGTGTGTGTGTGGGTGGGTGGGTGTGTATGTGTGTGTGTGTGTGCAGTGTACCACATTGCTCCTTCCCAGTGTTTGTTTTTTATCAAAAATGTAAAATACCATTTCAGTTCTGAAAATTACTATTTGGTTACATAACAGTTCTTGGGTACCTCACGAAGTTGTCCCACCAGCTCTTTTTCTTCTCTCATCTGTTCCATTTTCCTCCGAATTGTAAATTGTGGATCTATAGATTCCAAATTTCTCTGAGGTCTGAGAAACACTATAACAGATAAAGGGAAAAGAGCCTTTAGGTCTTGTCTTACACAGGCTGCCAGGTAGGGCTATTCATATTTAAATTAAACAATTTCCTTATTTATTCCAAATATCAGATTTACCCCTCAAACAAAGAAATGATTACAGAGAATGTTTTATCTGAAGTTTTATTTGAATATTCTAAATAAGATCGCATCTTGAGTTATCCTGGGTGGTGCAGACCTAGCAGCTGTTGGTTTGAGGATAACAAACTGAATACTGAACTGAGTTAGGGTGAGTACTGCTTCTTGTGGGAATCACCCCATGCCTTTCTGTGTCAGGCACTTTGCATCTTTCATGTTTCCTCTGCTGTCACTCTTCAGTTTTAATCTGTTCTCACAATCCTCTTATTAGATTCAGATAATTTACTCCAACCAGAAGACTGTTAGAACCAGTTTATCTATTAAAAATAAGCTCAGGTGAACATTTGTGGCCTCATGTATTTGGTGAACTTGTTTAAGAACTCTGTGAGTCTATGTGATTCCCATCTGAGAAGAGGAAAATTCTGTTATGTCACCGACAGGACATCCTAAAAGTCAGCTCGCAAGCAATTCCTTCTAAAAAGGTTGGCAAGATGAAAGGCAGTTGAAGAGGGCATACTGTTGGCTTAGGTTCTTGGCATTGCAACCTCTGAGAACAGTAACTACACTGCTCTCTCTCAAAGTGGAGTAACGAAACTGCATGCCCTCAAACCCTAGAGGGTAATTTCTTTTAAAGTCCAGTCAAGATGTCAAACAATCAAACAAAAAACCTTGTATGTGGAAGGATGATCATAGCAAAGTTTTTAATGGAAATTTTTGTACTACAAAGCCCAAGGTAGACTTTTTTTTTTCCTTCCTGGAGATTTTTATCCTAGAATATCAACTTTCCCTACTTGCAGAATACAGCAAAGAACTGTCAAGAGCTGTGTTTGGTTCCCCTGTGGAGGAGTCCTTTGGGACATTTTGGACACAGAAGTCCAATTTTAGACATCAATATTGCATAGAAGGTTACATAGAAGTAGCTTCAATCACTATAATTTAAACAAATTACACAAGAGGAGTACACAATTTTTATCCTATCCTGAGAAACGCCCCCTATGGATTAGTTCAGAAACTATTTCAGTGAATCTCATTTTAAAAAATCAAGTACGATTTACAAATATACTCTGATTCAAAAAAGACTTCTTGAGTTCACTCCATATAATCAAATACCCTGTACTTGCCTAACTGTATCACTTTAGTTAGTATCTTCCTATTTTTTTCCCCAATCAGCACTTAGAGGCTCCAGGAGCTATCAGCCAAGCAGACACATGGTTAATCCCCTGACTCACAAACACTGGAGAAGAAGCATGCTCCACCCCATCAGACCATCTGCCTGAGGGAATCCCAGAAAGGAATCAGCCTGGGGCATGGTGATTTGCTGGAAATCATCCAAGGGATCTCAGACAGAAGTGCCAAAGGAGTGTCCCAGAAAGACTTTCACAAAGGAAGTGAAACCAGTTGTTGAAAAAACACAGTCAAGGCCAGCAAAAGATGGACAGACCATCAGGAGAGAGGATCCTTTCACAGAGAAAAGGGAAAGGAGATGAATGAAGAAACACGAAACACACTGCAGAATGTGAAACTGTCTCTGTAAAACCTTGATAAAACCAAACTAAAAAAACAAAAATCTACCCAATGAAGCATAGCTTTCAAAAGAGACAGACACTTGAATGCAAAATCAGGAAGTCATCCACACCTCCAAAGAAAGTGATCAAATTTACCAAAAAAGTCAAGGAATGTAGACAGAGTTGGGTAATACACACTCCTGCCAGCACGAGGTGCTGTAACTGTTTAAATGAACCTAATGCTGTCCAGAGTCTAGTTTCCTTTGCCTTTCTTCTCATCTAACAAGGCACGCTTCATATTTTCAATGTGTTTTTATTGGCAGGATCCACTTCAAATAAGAAACTAGCAGGAAGTTAAAGGAACCATGAGCTTTTGTTTGAGTATCTATGCAGTTGCAGTAGGAGTCTGTTTTAATTTCCTGGCATTGCTTTTCACCTTAAATTCTTGTGCATCTTAAAAATACAACATGCATGACTGAATAATTGTCCTATGCCTGTTAAAAAGAACAAAAGCACTTTTAAAACATTTGAATTGTCGTTTTTAAATGAACAGCTCAAATGTGTTCAAAATTACTAGATGTAACTACGCTACAATGTATTATTATTATTATTATTAGCTGTAACTATGCTATGATCAATTTTCTGAATCTATCATTTATTTAGGCTCATGATAAATTTACTAGTTTTATTTTTGCTGGGTTTGATACAACTGTGATTTTAGTGGAATCATATTCACTACTTGCAATCACATATTCTTTAAAGCCACAAATCTAGCCTAAGTCAAACCTTCCGGAAATTGATCCATGGAAGAATTATAGATCTTTCTTACTTCCATATCACTAACTTTCAAGAGCTCCTTTACTTAATCTAGGAGAACAGAAGTTGAACTTGAAGCTAATAAACAAGATAAAGCATTACTGTGAATACCTTTTTTTTTGTCTAATACTTATTAATTTGAACACCAGCGAGACATAGCTGTCACCCACTGATTCACTCCTTTAATGCTTGCAAAGCTGGTGGTGAACCAAGCCAGACCTAGGAACTCAATCCAGGACTCCCCTATGCAAGGCAGAAACCTAAATACCTGAGCCATCATCTGCTGCCTGCCAGGTTTGCATTAACGGAAGCTGGAATTAGGAGACAGGAACCCAGATACTCCAATGTGCTGGCCTGCATGTTAGGTGATAGGCCAAGCCCTCATCCTAGCACCTCCTTTCAGAATCAAATACCAACCCGGCTGTGTAATTAAAAATGGGGGAGTGTTGGGCCCAGCGTGGTGGCGCAGTGGTTAAGGTCCTCACCTTGCACGCCCCGGGATCCCATATGGGCGCCGGTTCTATCCCCACAGCCCCACTTCCCTTCCAGCTCCCTGCCTGTGGCCTGGGAAAGCAGTCGAGGACAGCCCAAAGCCTTAGGACCCTGCACCCGCGTGGGAGACCTGGAAGAGGCTCCTGGCTTCGGATTGGCATAGTATCGGCCGTTGCGCTCACTTGGGGAGTGAATCATTGGACGGAAGATCTTCCTCTCTGTCTCTCCTCTCTGTATATCCACCTTTCCAATAAAAAAATAATAAAAATAAATCTTTAAAAAAAAATGGGGGAGTGTCAGGAAAGTAGAGTTAGCATGAGTGGCTGTGTTTGTGTATTCAAGGAGAGACAAAGGGGTGGGTGATTTAAAATGTCAGAGGGGAAATGAAGCTTGCTTACACGCTGAATTACCATAGGTCAAAAAATTAACAATGAAAAGAACTGATCATTTGTTTATACATGTAATCTTAGCGGAAGTAACAAATTTGTAGGAATAGCCCTAGGGAATGATGAATATACTTACGCACAATATCAAATTCATCCTTGTAACCCAGTGCTGTGGCAGAGTGCATTGTGCTACTGCTTGGGATGCCAGCTTGGCTTGCCAGAGGAGTTTATAACCTGGCTACTCAGATTCCAAGCTAGTTTCTGCTAGTATGCCTGAAAAGCCAGTTCAAGATGGCCCAAATATTTTGGGCCTGCCACTATGTGGGAGAGCAAGATGGAATTCTTGGCTTCTGGCTTTGGCATGGTTCAAGTTTGGTTGTTGCAGCCACTTGGGGAGTGAACCAATGGATAGAGGAATCTCTGTTTCCATCTGTCTTTGCTTCTCTTTCTATAACCCTGCTTTTAAAACAAATCTTTAAAACAAACAAAAACAAAACAAAAAGCCCTCCAATTCACCCTGGTACAGATCAAGTTCCACTGTTTTTCCCATTATCTCTATGATTTCCTTCACTCTCCTCCCTGACCTCATGGCCAAGGTACGCACTCTCCACCTGGTATAAATTAACAAAACTTTTTGTTAGGGTCTCTTTCATGGTACAACCACTGAGCTTACAATATAGACATATTTCCCTCCATCAAAAATGTGTGTTTGCCTGTGGGCCACAAGAGTGAGTGGGGCAGGATGAAATTGTTGAACGCATAAATGACATGAGTGTTTCAAAAGCCACTTCACTCAAAGCTCATTTTATGGGGACAGCATTTTTTTTTAAAGATTTATTTTATTTTTATTGGAAAGGCGGATATACAGAGAGGAGGAGAAAGACATCCTCAATCCCAGTCCCAACCCCTCAACTGGGGATTACATTTGTTTGGTAATGGGAAAAATAATACCTTACTGCAAGACTGCCAAACCAAACAAACAAACAAATAAAGAAAAAACTAAGAAAGCTGTCTGTGAGTTGGTTCAGGATACATGTTTATTCACTTGTTTTCAGGTGATCATTTAATATAAATTTGAAATAAGGCTAAATTAGCACTCCTTGATTCATTACAAGGGGAAAAGCAAAAATGATTAGAAGACAGGAAGGCTTTTCACTTCAAAGAGATAGGACAAGAGGCAGCACACCGGTGTAGTAGGCTAAGCCTCTGTCTACAGTGCTGGCATTCCACACTGCTGCCAGTTTTGAGTCCATGCAGCTCTGCTCCCAATACAGCTCCCTGTAAATGTGCCTAGGAAAGCAGAAAAAAATGGCTCAAGTCCTTGGGCCCTTGCACCACGTGGGAGACCCAGAGGAGGCTCCTGACTTCAATCAGTTCAGTCTGGCTGTTCCAGCTAGTTCAAGAGTGAACCAACAGATGGAAGAGTTCTCTCTCTTTCTCTCTCCTCTCTGCAAATCTGCCTTTCAAATAAAAGTAAGTAAATCCTTAAAAAATGAGAGAGAGAGAAAGGACAAGGCAAAGAGTCAGAACAAGAAAAGGGAAGGCACAGAAATGACATCTCCAGGTTAGGGACACACTGAGGCAGAGTTGGCCACCTGGAGGAGGTGTGCGACTCCCATCCTTGCAGCACCCTCAGGAAGCACCACTTTGGAGACTGTGGGAACCCCAACTCCCAAAGGGCCTGACTTCTGGACAGCCTGCCACTGGAAAAAAAATCTCTTGGAAGAATATGTTTCAGAGAAAATGGGGACTTTAAGAGGAGAGAGATTGGGAAAGAGGTATTGAAGAGAATTTAAGTAAAAGGTGGATTCTTACAGAAAATGAGACAGTGAGGTATAAAAATGCCAAAAGTACTCCCCCATAAGAGCTAGTAAATATTAACAGAAGTCAAGTTACATTATGCCTGCTCCATGGTAATAAGATGCCATTTCCTTGCAAAGGCTGAGATAGATGCAAAGAATATGAGGAATAAACATGTAGATAAAGAAAATATGAGGAAACAAAATTGATGCTTCAAATAAGCTTTGAAAGGCCAGAGAGGCCACCTAACCGGATCTTTTACTTTAAGAGGAACCAGACAGAACAATATAAGCAGTGGGCTGTATGTCTCTTGAAACATTAGCTTATCCTCTCGTGGTCACACAAGGCAGCTTCCGTCACCGAAGGACTGTATTAGCTAAATGTATTCCAACTCCAGGGCCAAATGTAGCACAAAGACAATGAAGGTCTAGGAACCTGCAGCAGCATCTGCAAAGAGTGTGTCTACGCAGAAAATGATCTGCTGCCTGGGGTATGTGGTGGCAAGTAGGGGAAAATCACAATCACCAAACATCTGACAGGAGTGATGGAGCCACATGAATACTGCAAACAATCCTTCTAGAGTTAACGTGATGCAGCTTCACGTCTACAGACGAATCCCCAGAATCTTCGCTCACAGACCAAACACAATGTAATGACGAGAAGGCTCTTTCATTTTTAGAAAGGTTTCCCACAATGATTCTTTCCCATGGCACTCAGGGAGGTTTTAATAAAAGAGAAGGGATACTGGTTTAGTACCAGGTACACCATATCCTTAGGAAACACCTGCAGAAAGAATGGAAATGTGCAGAGTGGAGACATGGCAGGGTACGAGCTGACCCAAGCGGTGTACCTTACCTCCCTGGCTTTAGCTGGCTCAACTATAAGAAAAGATATTCTACTGCTACAGGAGACATCTACTTCTCTCCCAACTTAAAACACATTCATACACACATACACTCATACACACAACGCTTTGGTGTCAGATATCATTCCTAAGGAAATACCAAATCAGACATAAATCTTTCCTTCTCAGCTTTATTTTCTTTAAACACCAGACCCATAAATAGCCACTATGTTGAAAAACTTTCCCTATCTGCCTCCATTTCTTATTTTTAAGCAAAGGAATAGTTTATTACCGAAGTTTCCATTTAGTTCTCGTTAACTTCCAGAATCAACATCAGAATAATATCAAGAGGGGCTTTTGTTTCATGATTCTTGCTTTATAGTCACATTTATTTTCACTTAAAAAGTGTAGAAATGCATGCAATACTAAATTTATTTTATATTCAGCTGCAAAAACATGTTATCCTTCTACATGAGGAAACCATAACATAGCATTTGATTGGATTTTAATAAAAAAATAGTGTTTATACATATATATATATTTCCTAAGGATTGCATACAACATTCTGAGGGGGGAAAAACTGGTATTCTCTGAAAATCATCACTTTGTTTTCAGAAACTAAAATGGAGAATGAGATATATGTAGTAGATAGACCCAAATAATTTCATTTATTTTATCTTTATCCTTTGGCTGCTGAAGTATTTAATGGCACAAAATTGAAATAATCACATAAATTCTCGCTAGACAGTCTCACTTGTTTTTTACACATTCTGATCTTCAGGCTAAGTGATTATTCTTGAATCTTATATAGATGAAATTATAATCAAGATGATAAAGAGTAAAAATTCAAATAATTTGAAAACAGAGAGAAGGCAAGTGATTTTTCTTCCTTTTAAGAAATGTCTCAACATTAACATTTTCTCTGCAACACTCAAGGATCAGTCAAGCAACTTAATTACCAGGAAAATTGCATTGGGTAAAATAGAGACCAAAAAAAAAAAAAAAAAAAGATAAAGTTCTTAAGGCATTTAGGTTCAGGTACAGGAGTAAACAGGGATACTCCAAATGTGCAAACCCCACATATTTGTAGACAAGCCACCAAGACAAAACACCCAAGCAGAAAAGCTAGAAAAGAAAGGAATGTCAAGTCTTCCCCAAACCCACAACAGTGGAGATAATTAAAACACAATTCGATAAACTGCTAGAGACCATTTCCCACATGCAGCTTTCTGGATGTGAGTTCCAGGCTTACTCATCATCTCTTGTCTCAAGCATGCAGGAACACATGCTCTATCCTCAGCTGCACAGAGAGGAACCGTCACTATTGGGTTATTAACGAGAAAATTGAAGAAGAGGTACAAAGCCACCTACCATTGTCACAGTCTCCTTCAGATGGAACACTGTAGCTAGAGCTGTCCCATGTTTGTGCCTGTGTAAGTTTGTTGAAGGAGATAGGAGGGAGAATGAGGGCTGGGTCTGCAGGAGAGTGAGAGAGCCAGTCCGCGTATAGTTGCACAAGGACCAGGGAAAACCAAAGGGGTGGCAGCATTTCATAAATGGCATAAGGTGCATAGGAAATGGAGTGGATTTCATTTACATGGGTTTTAATTTCAAATGCACAATATAGGAGGAGAATGAAAGATGGCGCATGGAATAAAAAGAATGACAAAAACTGAATGTTAGTACTCATCAACCAAATACTTTGCATGCAGTTAATATTGTTAATCTTAACAATTCTCTAAGCCTATAGATTTAGAGGAACTAACGGAGTCACATCAACAGAAAGAAAGATTAACCACAGATTATAAAGACTGCAAAGAAAAAGATCCAGCTGATAACTAGACAGATAACATTCTTTCTACCAAATACTATTCCCACACAAACTTGGTTGCATACAAAGTTTTAAATACATTGGAATATGCTTGTTGCTTACAAATAATACTACTACAAAATCGCTGTTTCTCATTAGAACCCCTCATCCCCCACAAGATAATATAAATTTTGTTTTTAAAGAAATTTCTAAGTCTATTGGTATCTTTTATTGATATCTGAATCTATGCATCTCTTGCCTGAACCCTTAACATCTCCTTCAAAACTGTAAAAAAACAAAAGAAATGGAAGGAGGCATACTAGTACATAGCAATTTAACCAACAAATGTCAATCAATTTTATAAACTTCTGAGTTTGTCACTTATCAAATGAAAACATCTTGTGATGTTACACTGAATATTTATATAGTAATTTCACATTTGGGAAATATCCCCATAACAAGTAATCTAACTATAAGGCACGGCTGAGGAAAACAAATGGACACAGTTCTTGGAAGAAATACTTGAGTAAATGCATTACATTTCTTTGGGAGGAAAACACAAACGCAAAAAGAAACTTCCATTTTTAGAAAACTATTCATCTACTGTAAAATCTAAACGTTATTTCAATTTACTAATTTGAGTAGACTATTTTTACTGATAACACAAAATTCATATAAGGTCATATATTTAATTTTAAAGTAGAAAATTACTTGGTTTCAAGCATTTCTTGAGTGCATGAATAAAAAAAAAATATTTATATTGTTATCACATACTCTCTAGTATGAGTCCAGGTATTTTTCTCCAGAAAATATGAAAAATATATATTGTTAATTTAAAAATTATTTAGTAAAATGAAAATAATCCCCAATATATAATACTAGTTTTACAAAGTTCCAATATTGCCACTTGCTATTCCTGGAGATAAATAAACATTATACAGAATAATGAAATTCCATAGCACTTTCAACAACTAGAACAATTTCCCCATCCATTGGTTAGTCATCATTGCTGGAAGGTTTGAAACCTAAAGAGGAAACAAACTTTGCTGTCTGTCTTCTAAAAAAAATAGTGTGCAGTTCTCACTACTACAAAGAATGGTTCAACAATGCCAGTACAATCAGTACAACAAACCTAACTTTGAGGAGAAAAAAAAAACCACTGGGTAATGTTATAACTACATTGCACAGTTGCACAAATAATGCTATCCCTTGAGATCCTTTCAATTTGTGATCTAATCCATTGCACAGTATTTTTAAACTGTGTAGAACTGTCTAGGAAGATTAGGAGTCTGTCTCCCAGAATGGGGTCCTCAGTGTGGTTCCCAGGGATTCTCAGGAAAGCATAGAGCAGCCATCTGTCAGGACTTCCCCCCACTCTCAGGACACACCCGAGACTGCAGAAGTGGCCCCGCAAAGGACCAACATCCCAGATCAGTCACATAGGCGGACCTCAAACATCAGCCACTAGAGCCTTTTTCATGTACAATTTGCTTCTCCATAAAACACACAAATTCACAGCACGCTCAAGCTCATTCTTGAATGGCTTTTTCCTGAAGTGCCTTCTCCAACTGCCAGCAAAGCATCACACCTGGCTACATATTCCCCATTCATCAACTTTGGAATGGAAAACATGTCTGTTATGAAAGAGTCGCCCTTGTTTCTGTGTTTCCAATGGCTGTCTTTTATCCAGATATACACACGTATTAACTGCTGTCAATACCCTTCTGTCCAAAGCTCAAGAGCATCCAAGTCCTTTATCACTTCACCTCCTACGTGTCTGTGTCCTTTATCAGCACTAGCTTAGCAGCATTAGAAGCAAATGTGTGCTAGATACCAAAGAATCAGAAACACCAAAACAAAGAGGCTCATGCAGGAAGGAAGGTGACACCAAACTTAGGGAAAATGCGAAAAATCTAAAGAATCTAAGGAATCCTACAGAATCTCTTCCTTTCTAAGATTGGTATTTATTAAGCATGTTGCTCTGTTATTTTTGTGAATAGACCAGTAACAAATTAAATTAGGTAAGATAAGCAGGATGCTGTTCCAGATCTTTTAAAAATTACTTCTATCTACTCCTGCAAGCCTAGATATGACCATTCTGTTGGGACAGCAAACACAGAAGACAACACACCAGGCTCAGAAAACCAGTGAGGAGTGTCTTAGGAAGGAGTTCTTCTCTCAGATGCCACCCTTTAACATAGCAGAGGGCCAGGGACCAGTGTGAAGCAGAGAGCAGCTACTTTATCTATGTTGGGTAAAAAAAAAAAAAATCTAGAACATTCCTTCTTCCCCACATGCATGCTCTCATCTTCTTTCTGTGCTTCTTTGCTCTGATTCAGAAAACAAAACAAACAAACTAAAACAAAACAAAACAAAACAAAAAAAAACCAGATGCTGTTGACTGACAACAGGGACTAAACAGCTGATTCCCTAGAAAGGAAGCTGCAAGCTCTGTCCTCCCAAAGCTGTCAGCAGGTTGTGATACCACGGTCCCAACAGGCCAGATTCACAGGATGTTTACAACTAATACTGACCAGGTTAAAAGGCTACACAGAAACCACAGAGTTATTCAGTGTAAGGATGGGAGGAGGTTTTAATTTACCTGATCGAGGCTTCAGGCCAAACGGAGCTATGCTGTTTGTGGTAGGAGAGACTGCAGGAGAGTCCTGGCTCGTCTGTGGCATAAGAAGGGAAAAGAATTAGAGAAAAGCCAAAGCAGAACCATGAACTTCAGCATACTCCAGGAATACAATAAAACTGCTCTTATTTTGCATATGTGAGTATGCAAGGAAGTTACAGCCTAAAAACAAAACACCCTCTTCACAAATGTTTCTGTGGTATAATCCACATCAACAAAGTTGTTGTCTTAAGGGGGCCCATAAATTATAGTTTTTCTGCTTGTTATAAAAATGCTTCATGATCACATGCAACTGGCAGCACACTTCAGCAGCACAGCTGTGAACATCTGGGGGAAACCTGCTGTAATGTAAGGAGATGAGAGGCAGCACTGCACAGGTACCTCATCTAAACAAATCACACATGGAATCATTTACCAAAAGGAAGACACTCCAAAGGTTGCCCATTTGAGCAGTTTTCCTTCTGCTTTCTATAAAGACGTCCCTTCATTTGTTCTTGAAAATATTTCCTACAAAAATCAACCCTGAATTACAATTAGGACCAGAGAAGGCTAATGAGAATGAGATGGATTCCCCTTGGAGACTCTTGTAGTAAAGCACAAATTAGATATCTGATCCTGGAAAAGATAATCTCATTCAGCCTGCATGAGGAAATGTACCTCATTTGCTGAATACTGGCTCCCATTAGTCTGCAAGGCTGGATCATTCTGCACCTGAAAGAAGGAAATGTGTCATGTTATCTTACACGGAGAAGCTGATGTCCAAAGAACTCCTGCTTACTTCTCTCACATCTCTGACCCACAGGCACACATTGACTACACAATGAATTAATTAGTGTGCTAAATAGCCAGGCAGGTCATACTTCCATCTTCTACAAACCAGCAGCTATATTCACAGAAAAATCTAAGCATCACATAACTACTCCAGAATGTCTGTAACTATCACCTTGCCCGGTAGGTTACCAAATCATGAGGCTTCATTAATAAATAGTCCAAGGTAGTAATCCTGATATTTAGAATCATATTGAGAGTTTTAAATATCTACCTATACTTGGACCTTGAATCATCTGGACAAATCTCCTGTAGTGAGTTAAACTCATGTGGCAACCAAAGGTTAAGAGAAAAATGTATGAGATTTTCCTATGGTAGCGTTTAGTAGCCATGAGGAATGTCAAGATGACACGCTGGTCTCCAGCACAAGGCACTGGATGGATACTGGCATCACTGATGATGCAAGAGCAGTTCAGGAAGAGTTGATAGCTCAGGTCAGTCCCCAGGAAATGACAAGCCTGTGGGGCTTGGAGATAAGCTCTGAACACTGGTAGAGGCAGGGGGGATTTAGAACCTTCATGTAAATGTGACGGTCAGTATTATCCACCTGAGTCCATGATGAGGGCCAGATTCTCTAGAGACAGTAAGGATCTGTGGCTGAGGCAAGAATTCTGGGAAATCAACAGGAAAGGGACACAAATAGAGGAGGGGCCCACAAGGGGCTCAGCCTAGCTCATTTCACCCAGATCTGACTCCTGTGCAACCAGCGGTCCAGCCTTGACCATTTGGTGATAGGCGCATTTTCACAAATCTCAGTGATGGTTTCTATTCACCATCAAGGAGTACTACTGAAAATATTCCTAACTTTGAAACAAATCTTTGAAATAAATGGCATTAATGTCCCTATATAAACTTACTTGGCTGCAGCAACTGTTCACAAATAACTGCAGGCTGGACCCCTTCCTCTGGCTTTCTTCCCTGGGCAAAGTGTACCTGGTATCTCTTCATGTATAAAACAGTAAAGCAATATGCCTATCCCAAGCAGAAAATGACACTCTGGAGAAAAGTACAGACACTCCCAAAGCATGAAATTAGTGGGCCTCTGTAGAACCTGGGGACTTTACTGGGCTTAAGGCTGGTTGGATGATACAATCAGCACACTTCTGAGCACAGAAGTCCAATGTCAGAGACTCTACAATTTACACTAGCTCAATGAAGTGCATTTAAAAATATAACATATATTTATTAGTTGTATTATAAAGTGTTTTCAGTTACCAAATAAGACCCAGAGATCTGCAGATCAAACAAACGGGACACTGAAACTCTGCTCACCAAAACCTATTCTTAATAGTCTATTTCTTATCTCTTTCCCTTTCTTTTCACTATTCATGGTATACTCAGTACTAGGTTAAGTTCCACTTCCAGTAAACATACTTGGTGTCTGTGGGACTTGATTAAGAAAAATAGGATATCAAATAAAGAGGAGATCAAAAAGTTCAATGAAAATCCACTTTGAAAATGTACCTATAGGGCCCAGTGTGGTAGCCTAGTGGCTAAACTGCTTGCCTTACATGTGCTGGGATCCCATATGGGTGCCAGTACATGTCCCAGCTGCTTCACTCCTTCCAGCTCCCTGCTGCAGCCTGGGAAAGCAGAAGACGACAGCACAAAGCCTTGGGACCCTGAACCTGCATGGCAGAGCCGGAGGAAGCTCCTGGCTCCTGGCTTCAGACTGGCTCAGTTTCCGCCAAAGTTAAAGTGAACCAGCAGACAGCTGTTTCTCTCTGACTCTCCTTCTCTCTGTAAATCTGACTTTCCAATAAAAATAAGTCTTTTTTTTTAAGATAATATAGTTGTAGTTCACTTCTGTTGATGGGAATGAAAGAATGCTACACATCAAAACTGTCTCAGACTGTTAGGAAGGCAATGTGACATTCGAAACATTTATTTTCCAATATCATCAAATGCTTACTATCAGTAAGTAATTCTTAATAATGTCTGAATCAGCTACTAAGCCACAATTAACAGAAAAAAAAACCCAACATTCAATGTATTGTTTTTAAAGATGAGATGAAAGCTAGACAGACCCAGACAAAACTGTGAACTGGGCTCATCTATATTTAGGATATACTTAGCATTTGTTCCTTCCATATGCCATAAACATTTCTGTATTGCTCAGCTACATGGAAGTACCATGAATTCACTCCATATACTAACAACTGCTCTGAAGAAGGCTGATACAATTACACCATGCAAAGGTAAGTATGGCCAGACCAAGCGTGCCATTAGCCTATAGCATGGAAAAGCAGTATGTCAAAGCACAAAGCAGGACATACGCGCTGACCATGTGAGACGTCCAGCCAGATACCTGGCCTCCTTGAGCTTCATGTTCTGCATCTATAAACTGGGCACAATAATTCCTATCTTTTGCTAATACCTCAACTGGGGCCCAAGCTCCAAAGAGCAGAGAGAACATTCAATTTTTTCATGTTGCTTTTACAGAGTTCAAAGTGGTGTTTGACATGTAGTAGACAAATAAGTAAATATTTGCTGAAGGAATGAAGTAATGGGAACATCAGATAATACTTCAAATAGTTTTTGGGAAAAAGAATTGAAAGATAAGTTTCTTTGGGTGAAAAAGTTTTGAAACTCATACACATGGGGGGGGTCTTTAAGACATTCAAAGAAAGTGTATACTATGAAAAATCTTCAAAATTTTTTTGTTAAATGATTTCTTTAAAATTTGCTTTTTTGAAAGCAAGGCCAACAGAAATGGAGAGACTAGCCTTCCATTTGTTTTCTTCAGAATTGCTCACAACAACTGTGGCTTAACTTGGTCAAATCCTGGAGTCTAGAAGCTAATCCAAGTGGGTGGGCTCTACATGGGTGGGAGGGACTCACCTGCTGCCTCCATGTGTGCACCTGTAGGAAGCTGGAATTGAAGTGGGGCTAGGACTCAAATCCAGGTATATTCCATAAGAGATGCAGGTATACCAAGTGGCAACACTGCACCAAATGGCCTCGCATGAATTTATTTTTTAATTCAAGTTTTCCACAATGTTCTCAATTATGTATACCTCATATGTCAAGTTTGGCTTACACAAAGGCCTACTATTTTTTTTAAAAATCAGACATACATGTCAAATTAACATCACCAGTGAGGGACAGATGGACAGAGAGTGGCCCCAAATGTGATACTCCAACGGCACAGCATCACTTATTTGGTATCCAAATAAAATTGAAGTTTGTTAATATAATCACAAAAAAAAATCAGCCAACCACAAATGGGTCATATTCTATTTAAAAAGTGGGAAGCTTCTGTTCTTCAAAGTTTAAACATTAGAAAAATCAAAGATAGGGTGTGGAAATGTTCCTCCCAGATTAAAGGAGGCTCTAGATTCCTGACAACTAAACACAACACCTGCCATCAGACTGGCAGGTGCTTTGAACTGTATCATTCAATCAACTGACAAGCAAGGAATACAGGTGAAGATTAGATGAAAACATGTCATTGTGTCGGGACGATATTCTGCCAGCTCTGCTTTTAGACCAGAGATGGTCTCCCTGAGAAACTGTTGAATTTATCTGGACAATGTTGGTCTGTATGCATGGTACATGCTTGTAATGAAAGAGGCATGACTGGATTTGAACTGTAATACTACAATAAGGTAGAGTAATCATACCATGGGGGAAGGGTACAGGGAGGGGTTGGGGGAACCTCAGAGTCTATGAAATGATGTCATAAAATGAAATGCAATAAAAAATTCCACAGGAATTTGTTTTTTTAAAAAAGAAATCATGTCATTGTAACTGATGAAGCTAATAGCTGAAATGAGATTACATAAGAAAAAAAAAATCCTGCTCATAGAAAACAGCCACATTAGCCGAACTTTTGTTGCTACAGTTAAATTATTCCCTAGGATCCCCTCATCCCATACTAGAGTGCTTGGTCCAGCACTCAGCCACTCTGCTTCTGGTCCAGCTTTCTGATAATGCAGATGCTGGGAGGCTCAAACACTTGGGTCCCTGCCAGCCATGTGGGAGACTGGGATGGAGCTCTGAGCTCTTGGTCAGCTTCAGTCTGGTCTAACACCACTGTTGGACATTTGCAGAATGAAATGGATGATGTCTCATCATTTCCATCTCTCTCTCTTTCAAATAAAAATAATAGAAAAAAAGAAAGTGAATTGAAACATTTATGGATGAAGGAATATGATGTATGTAACCTATCCTGAAGTATTTCAGAAGATCTATGTGGAGAAAAAGAGGTAAGACAGGGGACAAATCATAGCAGCAAAAGAGGCAGAAAGTCAACAACTGGTACAGCCAGATACAAAAGTATGAGTTTTCACAACCGTTTTTAGGAGACTATAATTCTGTTTGCCATCTTTTTTATAAGTCAAAAAATACTTTCACAAAAGAAGCTTTATAAAACTAAGTCTGCATAATACCTAAAATCAATCTCACAAGGACATCTCCAAGAACTAGAGGCAGCCTGCAAATAAAAGACATCCTGATATTCCACTATCAGGTACCTCACGGATGCTTCCAACCAGAGTGGGAGTGGTGCCATGATTCAGTCTAAAGACCACATCAGGAATAGTCGTCGGGTAAGAGCTAACATTTAGCCTTGTGTGATGTAGTCTAAACACCATGTCAGGAATAGCCATAGAGTAACAGCTAACACTTAACCTTGTGTGAGGGACCTTTTTGGAACCATCTCATTGAATCTTTTCAATAGCTATTATTATGATCCCAATTTATAATGAAGGTTAAGGTCAAAAATGTTAATTAAGGTGCCCATAGCTATCACAACTATTTAGATGAGACTAACATAATTTCATGCCACTGAACTGAACAATGAGAGCACATTCTTTTCGGCATTTTCTTAAACAGAGACTCATGCTAGTCACAAGTGAAACTACTTTACCACAGGATGTAGGGAGACACCTCAGGTGGCATAAACAGGTTTATGTTCAACCTTGGCACCCAAATTAGCCACCTTGAGCGCACTCACTAAGAAAGAAAGATGAAACAGGCTGTCAACTGCTTCATTTTCACATAATCAGCTCACACCTCCTTCCCTCTGACTTAAGGTCACTTCACCTATCTTTGGGAACTTGTAGGCTCATTTCCAATTTTATGTCTAAATTGTTTTTCTACAGCCTACCTACCCCTGCCACAGTGTCTCTTTATAATGTTCTTTCCAACTGACTGTTCGTGTCTCTGTCTTTTCCAACTTAATTCCATCTGACCAGCTCAGAGATTCTGTGGCACTAAAACCTGTGAGAAATGTCACTACTACGGTTTCTGAATAAACAGAACAGGCTCCCCATATGTCTCTACTGCCATGGCCTGGCTCAGCAGGCTAGCTGATGTGAGAGAGAGAGAGAGACTCTCACAGGAATTCATCTTTATTGAAAGAATTGGAACTAGTGAGGGGGGAAAAAAAAAACAGAAAGGGAAAACCTGTCTTGAATAAATGGAAATACTCTCCTCACACATGAAAATATTCACTCCCAAGCCATATGAATTTTCAGAGTAGGGTGAACAGTAGGAACAGCAGAAAACTGCACAGAATGTTGGTTCCTCCAAGAGCTGTCTTACCTCACACAAGGACGACGTCTCCAGCTGTATCTGACCACTATAGTAACAGGGAGACAGGAAAAACAACACATAAATGGAATTGAACACCCATAGACTTCAGTGTGCAAGTAGAAAATACACTTTAAAATTAAAAGGTACACATACTTCAGTGTAGGATCTTGTAATTCTAAGGCTTCTCCTGACTCCATAGGGTACAGGCTTAAAATACTTCTCTCTGTAATATCCGTGCTTAGCCTAAAGAGTAGGGGGAAAACAAGTCAGCCAAGAGATTATGCCTTGATTTCTAACACATGCTATAGGACCACATGGGTCAAAATGATACACTCAACAGTTTCAGTATCTTTAAGTTTCTGACAGCAATTTTGAACTGCATGGTATTTTTCTACCCATGTATCAAAATCTAATGTTTTTCATCTGCTATTGATACTAAAATCCAACTTCCTTAAAAAATAACAGTTAATTTCAGATAATGCATTATTTTCCTAGGTAGCATATGTTAAATTTCATTCTAGAATGTCAGTAAAGATGCCAAAGTAAACACATTATAGTATATGCTTGGAAAAATGATGTGAGCTTTGAAAGACAGAAACAGGGAGAACATATGGTATAGTGGTTAGGAAACTGTACAGCAGTTTGCATGCATGTCACAGAACCTGTGTCTGAGTCCCAGCTCTGCTTCCAATTCCAACTTCCTGCTAATGTGCTTTCTAGGATGCAGAGTGTTAATGAAAAGTATGTTTTCCACTTGCATTCCTTTACCTTTAGCTAAGAAATTTTTTTAAAAAATTGTTCAATTTATTGTTGATAGCCAATTCAAATAAATAAAAATATTCAGTAACCCAAACCCCAATAAGCATTTATTTAGTTAACATATGTATGTATGGTAACTATTAGAAATAACTGCAATAATATTCGACATACAGTTCTTTCTCTTTTTTAAAAACGATCCCTTATATTTACATAAATCAGGGTTTAAAATCCTCACCTAGATGAAATATGCACTCCTATTATATTTCTATTTTTAAATATAAATTAGATGAGGAAATTCAATCCCCCTGGAAGTTCTTCTACTTTTGGATCTTGGGAAAACAGTCAATTAAAATGGGCCAAACTACAAGTAAAAATGCACTAGGAATTGAGATGATGTATTCAATAAAACAGAATGCATTTATACATAAAACCTAAGCTAGGAAAGACACATACCCGCTGGGATCTTGCAGCAAGTCTACTGCTTCTCTTAGCTGCTCAATCATCACTATATCCATGTCCTGATCTTTGGATGAACTTACTCTGTAACAAGAAACCAAGCACCAGAACAAAAACAATCAGTGAAACATGAACAGCATCCAGGTTTGTAACAGCAAACTTATAAAAATCCACCTGACTCTTAAATATGATCTCACTGTAGACATGTCAGCATCCTGTAGTGTACAGTGACAGAGTACAGAGGGAAGTCTCCTTGTAGGGGAAGCCCTGCTTTGCTGTAAAGCTGCTCATGCAAGACCTCAAGGTGCTTGGGATCTCAACTCCAGTGCACAAGTCAGGCAAGGCACTAGATGGGAAGCCTTCCCAATGTGCTTCCCTGACTCTGCGGGGCTTCCCACAGGTGCTCCTCTGACCAAATCTGCTCTCCTCTCTGGGCCTTCCATTTCAACTCTACCAACACAGCTTTGCCAGGTGACACAGTACTGCTTGCTGGCCTTCCAACTTTAATTAACCAGCATCGCTGAGTCTAATTACCCCCTCATAGTACAAAGCCTCACTGTGGGACAGCGGCGATTGGCTTGGGCTCCACATGGCAATATCATATATGGAGCTCAAGATAAATTAATAATAATAATAACAACAAATCCAAACATTAGACCTACTACTCCCAAGTGGGTCTCATTAGATATTGAGCATTTTAATTGCAGACAACCTATTTTACAGGCAGGGTGGAGAACAGTATTAAATTGAGATTAAAAGGTCCAAAGTATAGTTTAAAACAGCTCCCTTTTCCCCCGTGGTTCTGTGATCAAGGCAGTTCTCCTTACTTTCTCAGAAGCACAAGTACCTCCAATAAATATGCAGTGGTAGTACAGAGATCAAAAAGAAACTTCCAGTGTTTTTATAAGAGCAACAGAAATTTGATCATGGTTAGCCCTTCCCACCACAGAACAAAAGCAATGACTTTCTTATAAGCAATGTGGTAAATTCTTACTAAGAAAAAACTTCACAAGTATAAGTGGGAATTTTTGGACTAAGATTTCTAAGATTCTACAAAACAAAATCCTAGAAAGCATAATTTAACTGACATGGTCAAAATTAATTCCTTTAAAACAGTCATGTGATGTCATTCCCCACCCCCACCCCCAATGCACCATGCCAATTAAATCTTTATAGACAACACCGCAGAAGAGGTATCTGTCTGTTGTCACACTCTTTGGGTTCAAATGCTAGGGCCAAGGGAATCAAATCTGTGCCTCAGTGAAAGAGAAGAACAAGTCTTCTAAGGATTGTTGAACAGATCAAACCAATTATGACTAACATGTGTATTTAATAAATGCTTGTGATGGCAGTCAAGGGACATGCAGCCACAGCACTGGACATCAAATCTTAAACCTTAAGGCTTTGCATAATAAAGGGACCTGTACTACAAATGACTTTGGGTCTAGCTACTGGCTTCTTCAGACAAATGAAAAGAAGGGAAGAACATCTCCACCTTTAAGTTATTTCTCAAAATCTTGCATCCAAGCACAGCTTCAGTCAGATGAAATTTAGGCCAATAAAGAGATATAACTTTGATGACAACATCCAATATTGTGACAGTAAGGATCACACAGAGGGAAACTGCTAATTTCTTGTCAAAACCATCAGGTAAGAGTATCAGCAGATCCAAAGAACAGGGGCTCAAATCCTATTTCAACAGGGCTACCTGTTTCCTTAGAAATGTACACGAGGGCCCAGCTTGGTAGCCTAGCAGCTAAAGTCCTCGCCTTGCACATGCCAGGATCCCATATGGGTACTGGTTTTAATCCCGGCTGCCCTGCTTCCCATTCAGCTCCCTACTTTGGCCTGTGAAAGCAGTTGAGGACAGTCCAAAGCTTTGGAACCCTGCACCTGTGTGGGAGACCTAGAAGAGAGTCTAGGCTCCTGGCTTCAGATCAGCACAGCTCCAGCTGTTGTGGTCACTTGGGGAGTGAATCAATGGATGGAAGATCTTCCTCTCTGTCTCTGCTTTTCTCTGTATATCTGACTTTGCAATAAAAATATTAAAAAAAAAAAAGAATAGTTGACTTGAAGACTAGTGTCGTGGCTTGAATGCTAAGCCTCTGATAATGGCACTGGCATCTCATATGGGTGGTGGTCCTATGTCCAGCTGCATCAATTCCAAAATAGGTTCCTGCTAGTTAAAAAAAAAAAAAAGTACAGGAAAGGTGGCTCCTAAGCAAGCCTGGCACTTACATTCCCTCGCCTGGCCAGTGTGCGTCCTCTTCTATCCTTAACAGCTCTTCACAATCTTCTGGCCTCTCCTGTCAATGAAACACATGGCTTTCTGAGAACTACTGGCTGCTCAGAAGTCAAGGTGAAAGCCTGCCTCAGCCCATGTCCACAGCAGCATTATCCACAACAACCAAAAGGCAAAAAACAAGCCACGTCCTCTAAAAGCAGAAGACTTGACACATGGCACACACATGGATGAACCTTGAGGACACTGCGCTCAGTGTCATAAACCAGTCACAACCAGACAAACACTGGATGGCTTCACTCAATTATCAGAAGAGTTAAATGACACAAAGTAGAATAGCAAATGCCAGGCTTTGGCAGGAGGGGTAATATCGAGTTGTTTCGTGAGTACAGAGTTTTGGTTTTGGAAGACAAACAATTTTGGTGTTGGCTGCACCACCAAGTCAATGTGCTTAATACATGCTGAGGTATACACTTAAGAAGGGTCCATTAGGGGCTAGAGCAATGGCTCAATTAGCTAATCTTCCACTAAGTGCATTGTGATCCAATTTTGAGCACCAGTTCATGTCCCCGGTTTTTCCACTTCCCACCCGGTTCCCTGCCTGTGGCCTGGGAAAGCAGTCAAGGATGGCCCAAAGCCTTGGGACCCTGCACCTGCGTGGGAGACCCAGAAGTAGTTCCTGGCTCCTGACCAGCTCAGCTGCAGTCAGCTGCTGCAGTTACTTGGGGAGTGAACCAGCAGATGGAACATCTTTGTTTTTCCTTCTCTGATAAATCTGCCATTCTAATGAAAGTAAGTGTTTTTAAAAATGGTTAGTTATTAGAGGGTATCTAGAATGTTCTCAACAAAAGCAAATGATATGTCAAGGTTGCAGATCATATTAGTTACTCTGATCACTGCACATTGCATATAGGAGCTCCCCACCACAAATTCATGTATAAAATTGTCACATTGCCCTACATATAATCACTATGTGTCAATTTTTCAAATACATAAAAATGGAAACATAGCTAAGATGGTAAATTTTACATCAACACATTTATTACAATTTAAACACTAAAACAAACTGGCCAAGGACCACAGACTCCGTTAATTCAGCATCAGAAATTTAACATTCAACTGGATTCGTTACTGCCCTGTCAGCAGTCTTGGTGCTGACAGATCCTGTCCTTGAGCTTGGGAGTCACATGTGGATGTGTACACTAGTGTTTGTGAGAGCAGGAGGTAGGGGTGTGTGTGTGTGTGTGTGTTTTATATTGTTGGCAAAGAAGAGAATGTATTAAGGACTTTATGACTTATATTGATTTAATCATGTGTACAAAATTGGAAATTCACTCAGATGTCCTCTTTCCCCTTCCCACCATCCACTCCACATACATTTGAGTGAAATGGGAATGAATACTGACAGAAGAGAAAGGTATGTGTTCCACTATGGGCCTATGCTTCCTTGCACTTTCATCTGACACAGGAAAAAAACAAAACTGCTGTACTCAGCCAACCGCCAGAACGGAAGCCACCCCCATGCCCGGCGAGGACCACATTTTCCCGGTGAGGAAGAAGGAACAACAGACAAAAACTCTGTTTTCCATGTCAAGGTTCTGGTGGGTCACCAGAACCAAGACCAGACCATTCTGCAGATGTGTCAGCAGGATGAGGCTCTTCCTGAGCAGCTCACTGCAACTGCCTAAGGCAGGCCTCTGGCTTGAGACACGAGATGTTTTCCACGTGGACTATAATATGCTGTGTCAGCACATTAATTTCCATACTACTCTCCAAACGACAGTGGAATTCATAGGTGAAAATACACTACCAGGAATGACCAAGGCAACCTGTTCTATCTCTTTCTGTTCAGTGTCAGCTATTGGAGCCATGGAGATTTCTTTCCCATTTTCAGCTTCAAGATGAAAAGTAGCCATAAGTAAAAATCATTTATGCTTCTCCCCCAACCCCTCATTGTGTAGAAAAGGCTTACTGGGCTTTTTGGGTTCCATTAGATGATGATAATGTTGATTTTCATTATTCATGAATTCTATATTTGTGAATTTGAGTACTCATTAAAATTGACTGGGAGGCCCTAAATGAGTGTTTGTGCTGCTTTTCAAGCCATTTGCAGATAGATGCACAGAGGTATAAAAAAAAAAAAAAAAGCTGTGAGTCACAGATGTGTCCATTCCCAAATGAGGTGTCAAAAGGCATGTGCTACCTTCTTCCTTCAGCTCCTACAAAGTAACTAAGTGTAAATGCTGTGCCTTAATGACATTTTTCCACACTTCAGCATTTTTTGTTGGTATATTTCTATTTCAAACAGCCCCATAATACTGCAATGCTGACTAGTGTATCAAAACCTAAGAAGACAATAATATAATTTGCAGACAAAAGATGTGTGTGAGATAAGCTTTCGGCAGCAGCTGAGTTATGGTGCTGTTGGCCATGAGTTCAATGAGAAAGAATTCTCTCTCTCCCCACCCCCAACTATCCAGAAGCGTCTTTAAATAGAAAGGAGGCTATTAATTGATTGGCCAACAAATATAAAGTAGCTAAAAGCTCTCAGAAACCTAAATCTGTATTTGCTTTTGAAGCAATGATTCCTCACTGGATAATTTAATACGCTAGGTGACTTCTCATAGTATACCTGTCCTGAATGAAACAAACAAGTGCTGTTACAAAAGTATGCAATTACCCTTAAAGGCTGCAATGACTGCGTGTTGGACAGTTCAACGTGATGAATGACTTCACACAGTGCACTACCATGAATGATAAAAACAGACTGCAATTACAAGAGTACAAGATGCTAATTTTTAAAAGAAAACAGTGATGGTCAAAGTAACAAGGAGCTTGACACTCTTGTCTCTCAGGTGCATTTCTCAATGATAGAAGTCAACCCCAATTTGGGCCCAATTGTCAATGTTTGGCTTTTTGCCCCACCTACTGCAGATTAAGTTTTCATTTTATGGCCAGGCTCCTCCTGTTGGTGTTCCAATAAAAGGGCTTTCCAGGAATTATTCATTAAATTGACCTCAACACTTCTCTTAGCCACTCCGTTTCTGTTCAAACTATCAATTCTGCAGAAAAGACACTAACCAAAGAAACTTTCACTTTAGGAAATTCATGAATCCAGGGAAAATAGCTTTTTTGAAACAATGCATTTTATTTTTCTAATCACCTTGTTTTCCTTTAGAACTTAAATTTAGGCATCTTACTAACACCTTCTGCAGGGTTTCCATCTCTTAATCCAATACTGAGAAAGTTTCAATTCTCAGTGTTGTTATGACTTGACTGTCCCACAGAACTGACAGATGAGTCAAATCCAGGAGAGCTTTGTGAGACTCACAAGAGTAATGCGACTAGATCTATATGTAGGAAAATGTCTGCTTGTAGAATACAAAGTGTGTGCATGTGTGTGTAAGCATATGCACGCGTAGATGCTGCAGCTAGGACTCATATATTCACCGAGTGAGAGAGAAAAAGGCATAACTAAAGCAGTGTCAATTGAGATGGATTGCACAAACAAGGACAGAGGGCGAAGAACCGAGGCTTTCCATGTTTATCCTTCTATGTAAGTTAGGGAATCACTGTAGATGGCTTTCTACGCACATGTCAAGTTCATTATTTTATCTTGTTGACATAAGGATATCCTGATCATACCAGGGTCTCACGCAATATAAAAATGCTCAAAGTGAGTCCAGCCTTGATGACATGGTCTTCAGAAAATAAGGATATACACTTACAGACTTCATTCTAGGAGGCAATATTATAACTCAGAGATCATCAGCTCTCCCAGGACACAGTGCATCTGCATGCTACTCAAACAAGAATGCTCAACTGGAAACAACGGAGTGGCAGAAACAGACCACAAACCTACTCATGTGTTGACCAGGGGGTTTAGCCACCTGCTTTCAGGAAGGGCTCATTTTTCTGTGACAAGGGTTTTGCTGACAATTAGAGACATCTCACCAACACTACAGAGCAACGGTAACAGGTCAGTAACAAGGTTCTGCAGAGTGACCTTTCCCAAAGGAAAACACATTCACTTCCAGGTCTTCGAAGGCTCCACTTTTCTCTTTGTCTATGGGCATATTCACATTCAAATCAATCACTTAAGATTTACAGAAAAGAAGCTGGAACTTTGTTCGATTTCACCTTCTATTAAGTGGTTGTGGTAATTCTAATAGGATGCACTGAGTGATGGGAAGTGAAGTTATTTTTTTAATATCCCTGAAGCAGACAAATGGGAGGCCCACATGGTAGGAATAAATACACAGGCTTTGGGAAGATGATCTGCAAGCTGCAGGGCAGTTTACACTGAGCTGGACACTGAAGGTCATGGACTGGTAACCTTGAACTTAAAACTGAATGGAAGAAAAGGAGTAAAAACACTGACTGATGCAAAACCTTGCCTTGACACAGTTGCGAAAGCCAGGGTGTAGAACATCTGTCTCATGCAGAAAATGATCTCTTTCTTCTCCTGAGTTATCGTTGTCACTCAAAAGGGAAGGCTCTGGTTGAAATTCCTGATGAAATTCCCCTATTAGCAAGATTAAAAAAAAATAAAATAAAAGAGCAAGTGTCATTTCCTGAACAGAAGAATCAAGCACGATGGTTCCCAACTACATTATCTGATTATTTTAATCTTCCCTCTTGCCAAAGAGTAAGGAAGAGTAGTGGAACAAGTTTTGTCTTACCTGAATTTTTTGAAAAAAAAAAAAAAGAAAGAAAGAAAGAAAGAAAAAAAGGAAGAAAGCAAATCAAAAAGAAAAGAAAGCAAAGTAAAAAAATAACCAGAAAGTCCCAAATTAAGTGGAAAAAATCAAGCCTTCTTTAACATGTAGTTCCTTACATACCAAATATCCCTTACTTGCATAGAGAAAAGAGAAAAGAACATACAAAAGATGACTCTCGGCAAAATGTCACTAAACATTTCAAATTTAGTGTCTACTGAGGAGCTGTTAAATGGCATGTAGTATGCCAAACATTTCATGGATTAAAAAACTAGGGGTGGGTGCTTGGTGCAGTGATTAAGGCACCAGCTGGGACCCTGAGTCCTAAACTGGAGTGCTTAAATTTGAGACCTAGTTCCACTTTTGTTTCAAGCTTCCTGCTAATGTTCACCTTGGGATCCAACAGATGAAGGCTCAAGTGACTGGTCTGTGCCACCAACATGGGAAAGCAGGATCGAGTTCCTACTCCCCATTATTAGTTGAGCAAACTGGTGGAGCTTTGCTTCTCTGGCTCTCTGCCTTTCCAGTGAAATACTTTTAATGAGTTAAATATGATCCTTTGGACTTAAGCAGCAATTAATTTCAGGAGAAATATGGAGTTAGAACTGAAAAGAAACAACTATGCGGACAGGAACCATGGCATAATAGAGGCTGGCATACCATTTGGGGGTCAGTCCATGATCTTGCTGCTTTACTTTGATTTCAGCTTCCTACTCGGGGCCTAGGAAAACAGCTGAGAATGCCAAAGTCCTTCGTGCCTGAACCAGCATACAGGATCTGGAAAAGGCTTCTGGCTCCTAGCTTCTAATTAATACAGCTCCGGCTCTTGCAAATCATTTGAAAAGTGATCCAGCAGATGCAAGATCTCTTTCTCTCTCTCTCACTGTCTCTCTCTCTCTGATTCTGACTTACACATAAAAATAAATAAATCTTTAAATAAACAAAATAAGAGATGACTAGGAAAAGGGCCTTACAAAGATGAGAGTATGCACAGGTAAGATAAATCCAATACCACATCCTTGGCATACTGTAGAGAGTAGAGGAGGCAAAAGGAATGCCAAGAACAAGTTTTTGTTGTTGTTGGTTTCCTTTTTGGTTTTATTTATTTATTTATTTATTTGAAAGGTAGAAAGAGAGACACAGAGAGAGATTTTCCATCTGTTTCTTCGTTTCCCAAAGGCCACAACAATCAGGGCTGAGCGTGGCCAAGACCACGAGCCAGGAGATTCATCTGATTCTCCACATGTGTGTCATGGTCCAAGAACTTAAGCCATCTTCTACTGCCTTCACAGTCATGTTAACAGGAAATGGGATCAGAAATGGAACAGCTGGAACTTGACCTAGTGCCTGTATGGGATACAGGTATTACAGGCAGTGTTAACTCATTCTTCTATAATTCTGGCCCAAGGAGAAGAAGTTTTAGTGGATTGGTGATTAAAAAGGAGCAAACAGGGCTACCTCTCCAGATTCTAAGTCAGCAGAACACCCATGTCTAGAGCAGCAGGGTGATAACTCACTGGTAACAGATGTTGTACTTTTATTTGAAATCTTGCTTAAAACACTACCTCCTACACTGTATAATATTACCAAGTTTATCTGCATGAAGCATGTGGTGGTTTCAGCTGAATATAAACTGTGTAGCTACGTTTCTGGATAACATATGGCTCCAATCACCATCTCAGGTAAACATAAAGGCTACACTTGAATGACAATCTTTAAATCCTAATGGAAGAAGTAAAACTAAACAATTTTGAGTTGATTTAAACACTTCTCCAATTAATAGGAGCATATCATCATACTTTTAGGAAGAGGATCTGTATGCCAGTTCAATTCTGTATCATTTACATAGAAATTAGTCTCCGCTACAAATTAATCTATTTATACTAAAGAAAAAAAAAAACCATGCTACAAATGAAAAAGGAGCAAATTTGAGTATTTTCCATAAAAGTCATCGAGCAAAGAAGAATAATCAAATACTGTCTTCAGATACTCTCTATGGGCCATTCACTGAGCTATGAAAAAGAAGACAAAAGTATGCAAGATACTGTGTTTAGTGATCATAAAATGACTCAAAGAATCACTAACCTTCATTATCTCATTTTAATGTCAACCAGTTTATCAATATTAAGCAGACTGCGGAACACACATCTCAAATATATTTCCCATTGTACGTGTCATTAGATGTGGTCACGGGATGAAATCTACCTTGCAAGTAATGGGTACTCCTTCCAGACCCAACCAATAAAACTCACCATCAGCAAACTTTCATGCTACGCACTATGGGGACAGTCTGAAAGTTTTGGGTCAGAGACAGTGGGGTCTTTGGAGGAAAGCTCAAGTCCTGGAGTTAGTCTTTGGGAGAGAACTGCCTACCAATCTCTAACTTCAATTTAGATTATACTGGATTCGTGATACACCACGGGGATTGGGAAACGTTATGTGTTACAGCAGCTAGAGCTGTCCTGACTAACCATGTGTTACATACTATTGTTTCATTCCCAATACTGGATTTACATAACTTCTATAAGTCTTCAGAAAGAATACTGTCTGTGTGGCCACTGGAAAGTGACTGAATTCCTCAGGGCTCCATCTTTCTAAGAGGGAGATTATCAGAGCATTTATCTCACAGTTTTGAAATTTTTTTTTCCCCAATAAGACCAGCCTACCAAAGGTACATAATCCTGGGACACGGGAAATGTTCAATAGGTACTAACAATTACCTTGTCACATTTGTATACCTGTTGTGTTAAAAATAACATCTGATATAGAACACAAGCTCATTCTCAGACCTTTAACTGGGCTAAGGCGAAGATGGCATGAGTCGTCCTTGGCGATCTGTTCCTCTTCCATGATATTTGACATTGGCACATTGAGGCTCACAGTGTCTTCATCAGAAGGCTAAAAAGACACAATGTACTATTTCATTCAAGAGAGAAGTATCAGCATGGAGAGAATAAAAATTACATAATGCAACATTCCATGATGCTTGCAAACATACTGAGTAAAAACACCAGAGATTAGACAATTATGCTTACACAGTTCCAAAGTTCAAAAACATAATACTAACTCAAGTTCTTAAACTGAGAGCTGGTTACATGGGTATGTGTTTCCTCTGAGGACACTCACTGAGCTAACACTAACCTGTCCTGCTCTATATGTATATTCTGAGTGGAGATCTTGGCAGTATCCATCTTTTTGCTAACCTAAATGCCAAGGTCAGGGGACTACAAATGACTATGTGGTACCAGGTGTAAGAGGAACTTGTATAAACAAATTCACCACCATATCAGGTCTTATTCGACTGTTTTCATAGAGACAACACTCACATCTGAAAACAAAGCTAATTTACAAAAGTACATTAATGATGTATATGGTTAGTCATAAAGTCAACCTCGGCAACTCCACTTCCTTTCTTTAGAGTATATCCTATGTGCAACATCAAGCCTAGATTCATTTCCATCTGAGACATAACACACACTTGTACAAAAATGCTACACAATTGCAGGAAATGAAAAGAATGTGTTCTATGTACTTTTCAGAAGACAGCTTTGGCTTATCATGGGAGTTAGTGCTCTCGGAGGATCTCCCCTCTCACATGAGCTGACAATGCTTATTGAAGAACCTGTGACTCAGTGAAAAAGGAGACAGGGAACCTCATTTTGCTCCAGCCCCCAATTAGTGCTACTACGTAATGAACAGCTACGTTATGTCAACTCTCAGGAACCTCTGTAGCTGCAAGTGATGGTGGGCTGTGGCCATCTAAGTCCTAGAGTGGAGTGTGACCTTCAAGTCTCAGGAATTGCCACCAATGGCCTTTGGACACATGCACAAATTGTCTAGAAATTGGCAGAAGAGAAGCATACATGTGGTTCATTACATTTATATTCACTGTGCCCTCATGTGTTCTTGCTTGCTTTACCTTGAAAGCACAAATAGAAGCAAATGTTCAATCAATGGCAACAGCCAAAGAAAGGAAGGAGTCAAGATTCCTGAATCCCACAATGAGATGTAAAAGTAGGAAGAGTGACAGACCTTGGCTAATAACAACTGCCTAACAACAAAAAAATGGATATAAAGGATAACTCAGAGCCCAATGCCATTCTAAAGTAATAGATTTCTCCAAGGTGTTCTTAGCTAATGAGGTTATCATGGGAAGCAAGAAAAAGCCAAAAGGAGGATCTGTGTGCATTTTGTTTTGTCAAATATAATCCTTTCCAGAGTTCCTTTTCCATTCATCCACCTCCCTTCTTAAAGATATAGCAGAATTTCTTGACACACATCTAATTAAAAGAGAGGGAATGAATCCTTGGGCTCCTTTTAGAATGATATTAGCATCCTACTTATTCAAAGTGAGGACAAAAGGATAATGGAGTTCTTTGTGTAATGTTTTATTAATGAGTTAATTACCCTTAGAAGACAGATAAAGGATAAAGCAGAGTCTGTTTAATAGAAAATATGATAGAATTTAATAGAAAATAAGCTCAGAGTGAGTAGTTTCTTAAACAATGGTGCATTGAGGGGACTTAGGAGTTTAATAAAGTGTAAAGGGATGAATTAGCATACAACTTAGGAAGCCATGTGGGTAACATCCACCCATCCCCTGCCACAGTAGACTATTCATGTGATTAAGTTTCTTTTACTGACATTAGCTTTCTTTTTCTTACTGTTAACCTTCCCTCCATTAATATATTCTGCATTAGAAAGATTAAAAAAAAAAGAATCCTGGGATTTCAAAGTACACAGCAAAATACAGCTTTTTGTAAGAAGGTGATTAAAGTACCTTCGTGATATAATACACTATAGTCCTGAGGAGTGCTGGGAGAAAGCTTTCTCCTAGAGCACCAGGTAGTAAAAATGTGAATTCCCTAAAGGTGTAATTGACAGGCTGGTTAAAAGGTCAGAAGACAACAATGCTTCAGAACTCAGTGACTATAAGACCTCAACACCTTCCCTCAAAAGGGAGGGAAACTTGAGGCTCCATTCTCTATCACACCTGACCTTCCAGTTCCCTGGGTCAACAGGCACCATTTAATGGTGAATAATAGTTGAAGAATGTAACGGACTGTGCATGAGATAATCAATGTGTTAACAAAGAAGGCTGACTTTAAAACCACTATAAGAAAACACTGGGGTATGCAGTCTCTTCGTTCACACGCATTTTCATTAAAGAGCTTCACGGATACCTAAACACCACAGAATCTTTCTTTTTTTAAAAGTATTTATTAAGCATTCAAGAATATCCTATGTAACCTATGCCAGGGGAAGAGGAAGACAGAGATTCTACTTTGGAGACATTTATAAAATAGTAAAGATGCAGAATGAGCTACCAGCAGCTAATATTACAACAAACCTGCCAATGGTTTCATCACATGTTCTGCAGGTGCATCAATGCTCTTTCTCAGAAAGGAGATCAATGAATACTACTGGCAGGAATGAGGCAACTTTAAAAAGCTGCTGGTAGAGACTGGGTAAAGATATATGCTTGTGTTGGTAAGAAATGATGGGAATTCACCAGTATAAGTATGGTAAGTATATTCCACACACTTTTTGAAGACCTTGCATACACTCGGGAGCACAGAGGGGAGAAATCTGATTGCAAACTTTACCTCAGTGGCAGATAATCGCTTATCTCCATTATCACTTCCAACTCCTGAGTCAGAATCCTTCTTGCTGGGATAGATGTCATCCATAAATAATTCATTTAGGAAAAAAAATTTAATCACAAACTTTATACAAAGACACATCAATTAACAATCCAATAATGATTGCTATGCAAACTCTGACTGATAATACAAGGGAATAAATCATTGTCCAAATAAATATTAAGATATTAAGTTAATGAAAATCAGGTACTTGTTCTGTTTAAACACAGAAGCAAGGGTGAAGCAGTAACTCTAGCTACATGTTGTTAGTTGCCCATTTTCTTGTTTATTCTAGCATATTAAAAACAATAAATTACACAAGTCTTTAAACCTACTAGTCATTAAGTGTAACTACTTTGGGGTTGTCATGGCTTTGTCATGGCTCATCCCTGGCCATTGAACCCTTCTGGGGACTAGATCAACAGATGAAAGATTTCTCTCTTTTGTTTCTTCCTCTTTCTCTATAACTTTTTCAAATAAATAAATGCTTCCAAAAAATTATCTTCTCCAATTATCTTCTCCAATCTGTAAACTTTTGCAAAGTGATTACATAAATTTGACAGTGTCTTTACAAAGATAAAATAATGAATCCAGGTTAAACATTATAAAAAGCTAATTCTAAATGAACATGGTTAACCAAACATGAAGCAAAAGATTTATACAGTGAAGACTTCTCAAAAAAGCAAAACAAAACCACTCCTGCAATTTTATAAGTGTGTTCAGTGTGGGAATTTTGTTCTTTTAAAGTTCAAGGCCTGCTTCATGCCATTAAAAGTTGAAGAACATGTGAAAATGTTCTGACACTTCTATCCTTAATAGGAAGTGGGAGAAACAAAAAGCCTCACACACTGCATTTTAAAAGGACAATTAAAAAGTAAAGCATTCACAATGTTCTGAAGGCACATAAAAGATTAAAGATAATTGTTAAAAAGATACTGTTAGCTTAATATCACTATTTTAATTAAATAAAATGTCAAATATTTATAGATCTTAGTTATGCATAAACACACATGTGAACGAAGTACAGAAGACTGGTAGGGGAAGGGGTGCGAGAGATGGAGAGATGTCAGAAATTATCTACAGCCTCAATGTTTTCTTTCTTTGAAACAGTGAAGGTGCCGACTCACCTGTCTTCCACGTGCTGCTGTAAATGGGGCCTCTCCATGGCTTGGAGATAAAGGGAATCGGTTGACTTAATTTGACACGCTTGTATGCTCAAGTACTTAAATATGTGCACTTTGCCCTTTGTGCAAATCTGTGGAGGGATTAACCCGCATTTTTCAATGAGAAAACAAAATGCAAATACTGGGCACATGCTATTTCCACCACTTCACTTTAGGCAATGTCCACATACTGCTTGCTAAATTTAACATCTCCAAAACATTGAAGAATTTGAGAGAATAATTTCTCCAAATCCCACTCTGAATAGAAAAACCATGCATAATCAATTTCTAATTTTTCTTTAACTATAAAATTCTAGTAAAAACAGATCTCAGTGCTAATTGTATAAGAAGTATAAACATCATATAACTAACCTAATAACACTTTCAGCAGAAAAGATAACAGAAATGTAACCATTTTGAAAGTCACAGGAAAATAAGAGCTTAAAAACAACTGGAGATTACAAAGTTGTGGAATTACTGCAAAAGAAGACAAACTTTAAATAAAAAATTCCACTCATCTGAAAGCATATGACCTTCTTGTTATCTTTATGTAGCTTAATATTTGAGCATGTAGCCTGACTTCACACAATCAATATTCATATTTTAAGATGTTTAAACTCCATTTTCTAGGTAACTTTCAAATCAGGAATTTTTGCTATTTTAGTAAGCTGCAAGTTACATTGAAAAGTTTCAAAGGTGGGTACCAATGATCAACTGGCAGACACAGAATGCCAGGGCTGGAGCCATCAGAAGGGCGAGCCACACATGCGCCAAAGGAGTCGCTGCAGCAGAAGGCAACTTCTGGTGGTTGGATTCACCCCAGCTTCCCATTTAGTAGGAGTATTCATCAGCAGGGCTGCTGACACGTACCACTCCCAGCACTTCCCCAGGGGCTGGCGCAGGACGCCCTCACCTGTGCAGGAGGCGATTGCAAAGGGTTGTTTTCGAGCAGCAACACCTGCAGCTGCTTCATCTCCCGAAAGCAGATTGGAATCACCAGCACTTTGTTGCAGGAAAAGTCAAACTTGACCAAGGGAAGGTCTACTAGCTCTAAAAGAATTGTTATAAGACAAAACAACAATAATAAAACTTAGAGGGCCATAAAATTAACTCACCAACATTCAACGATTAGTTTCTGTTGACCAGGAAAAATGTCATTAAGCTGTGCAAGAAGGAAACATGGTGTGTGTATCTGGTACTTCACCCAAGGAGGGAAAGATCTTTCACTAGGAGCCTAGAAACTGTAAACTGTTTTGAGCTCTGGTATGAGTTGGCAGCACTTGACATTACTTTTTCTCCCCAGCAAAAGATTCACTCATGTCATCTTGCACAAGGCATGTTTACGCTTTAACTGCAAACCGTTTCCAAGTAGCATTTGTGAGCACATGAACAATATGCTAATTACAGAATATGTTTTTCCATTCGATGTCTCTGGGCTGGCACAATCTCAGCACTAGTTATATAGGACCAATGTTTGTGATTTTTTTCCCCTCAATTGCATTTAAAAATATGTTATTTGATTCAGAATTTTCTGATGGGTGCTGCCTTTCTGATGTGTTGGGACTTGATTCTGTTCGATTTAAGAAGTCTTCTGCAGCACTAAGGAGACAGATGTTATATTTAGCTTAAAATCCCCACCCAGTGGCACAGTAAACACTCAGTCATCTCAAGCATTCAAACCGACACTGGCAGCTGCCAGACACAAAGTCAAATACATTCCACACAGCACAGAGCTTCGCCGCCATCTGAGGTGACAAGGCACCAAGGTCTTTGTGAGAGAGGTGACAGGAGGCAGGATCACTTCAGAATGGGAGCCTCATCACTCAGGATGAGATGTGTGAAGGAAGGAGAGGTGCAGCTTTGAAATACATCAGAACTGCCCTGTAGAAGTAGAGCAAGGCCTAGATAAAGAGGCCGCAAAGGCAGGAACCTGGAGCAGGGACCCACACTGTCTTCCCTGCTCTGACCTCAGGCTGTCACATTCAGCTCCCAAGATTTCCAATCCTACCAACAGACTCTCCTAGCCTGAATGTCTTCTCTGGGTGCCTCAGGGACTGTCTTTCTCTCATACATAAGCAAAGTGTCCTCAAGATAAGGGGTAAGGGAACCAAAATTCCAGAAGGAGGCATAAGAGCTTTACTTCCAATAGCTCCAAACTCAGGTCCACAATGGTGGGCTGTGCAGGGAAAACTCAAGAAGTCTGGTTTTCGTTTTGTTTTGTTAAAAGAAAAACAAAAACAGACCCCTGTGCCTGAAACTTCAAAGCTCCAGGCATTTTTTTGGTCAAATAATCAGCATTTCAAAAATTGCTCTGAGGAGGCCATTACTCAAATCCAACCCGTCCTCCAGTCACAGGCTGAGATTTGCCTTGGGCATACCAGCCAGTGGGGCCACTTTTGAAAAAAGGCTATTAAGTTACTGGAAAAAGCAGGAGTGTGTCTGTAGGTGTGGGAATTAGGAAGGGGGAAGGTCAGCTTCCCTGTCTCTTCCTCACATGTGCCTGAAACAGGGCTAGGCATTAATGGATAACACTACCAGAGGAATACCTTATTGTAACACCAGCCCATGCAAACCTGTCTTGGAGATGGCCAATCTCACTCAGATTAGGCTGGCTAATCAGTGGGAAAACTGAACTAGATTCCAATTCTTTAGCGATTCTTTGTTACCAACAACGAAGACTTGGAACCAAGGCTCAAGGGCTGGGTTCATGGAAGACATAACGGGAGGTAGCTTAGAGGTAAATAAAACAAGGAACGGTTGGATAATGACTATTTTCCTTCCTCTCAGGCCCAGTTTGGAACACAATTATCATCACAGTGTAGCAAAATAAGAACCAGACAGTTTCACAACAACAAAGTGGGGGAGAAAATGATAAGCCTGCAGAGACAACACAGAAAATGTCAATGAAACGAAACACAAGGGGGAATAAGAGGGGGAAAGAAAACAAACCCGACTTCCCCTCTCTCTATTGCAAAGAAGGGTAAGGATGGCTATTTTATTTCTCTGTTTATTCAAAATAGGCTCTCCTCACCCCAGCAGCTGCAGTGAAACTACTACTATACCGATATGGGTAATTAGGCCACAGAGTTTTTCTGTTTTTTTTTTTTCTTCCCCTCCTCAAATTGAAAGCATATGAGAACTGGTACCCAGAAAGGAAAAACATGTAAGTAAATATGTAAAATCTTTCAATTGGCTGAGAGCCTTATCAATGCTCCTTTGTGTCAACAGAGCTCTCCAGAAGGAAGCAAAATGACATTTGATATTTGGGAAATTATTTTAAAAAAATATTTTCCAGTAAACTGAAATTTCAGCTTGCAGTGCATTTTAAATGATCAGCACTGAAAAAAAAATAATTATGGAAACCAGATTTGTAATTAATCTTTCCAGGGAAAGGAATGCCTTTAAGATAGATGAGTCAGGGAAGGTGAAAGAAATGAAAACCTAGGGTTTACAGGTGCTCCATTCTTCCTGCACATTTCTGAATGATTACAGGCAACTCCAGGATGATTAATTTTCCCCTTGGAAAAATGAGAGCTCAATTAGTTGTGATCTGTTTATAATGTTCAACTTGGAAACTTGAATTTAAAGTCCTCTCATATCGGGAAAGGTGATCTGTGTATATATTTGCTGTTCATGAGAATTTCTCTTTGTACTTGCTTCAACCAAAAAAAAAGTTATATATATTCTGGGGGAAAAAATGGGATTCTGCAGTGAAAGAGTGAAAAAAAATCAATATTCTTATGCTGAGTCACCTCATGTAATACATCGATGTGGAAACTGCTACTGCTTCTACTTCTTTAAAATGCCAGTCAGCAGGAGGAGGAAAGAGCACAGGCAGGACTAAAGTATGTCACATCTCATGAAGTTGTCTCCTGTTCTTGAGCTCCATTTTCTTGTTTGGCATTGCGGAAGCACTTCCAGCCACAGGTCAAGATAAAGAAGATAATAAATGTCAGGCAGCTCTCAAACAGCTGCATACAAGGCAGATCACCCACATGTGAACACATTCAAATAGACGCTTTTGCTTTGAGGTATGTTTGTGAAAATATATGCTTGAAATTGGGTATGGCTAGAATCCCCCAGTGGAAAGCCACATGATCTTTGTTAAACAGAGTGTGTTCAGAAGAAATCACGTGGTGAGCTGCTGCCCATCAACGTATTCCTGATTCAGGTCCACATGCTTAGGTGAAAATCAGCTGCTACAATCTACAAACCCGTAAGCTCCTCATGATAAACATTTTCTGAACAAAATGCATCTTGTTACTGGCAACCCACATACAGCATCACAGGGACACATGAGAGAGTCTGATGGCTGGGACAACAGGGCTGTGTAGAAGTCTTAAGCTGCAGTACTGCAGGATATTACTGTATTTGGAGACCCTGTCTTGAAAGGGGAAAAGAAATTAAAATTACATCACTGGGGTGGGCCCTGGTCCACCGGTGTCTTTCAAAGAAGAGAGGAGGAGACACACACACACTGAGGGAAGACCACAGAACACAGAAAGATGTCCATCTACATGCCAAGGAAAGGGGTCTCCAAAGGAACCATCCTGCCAACACCTGGATCTCAGATTTCAGCGCTCAACACAGAGGGAAAACACACTACTGTGGCTTCAGCTGCCAAGCCAGTGGACCCCTTACAGCTGACCCGGCATCCTAACGCATTCACCCACATCCCAGCATTATACAGAAGGGAGTGATTCTGTTGCTGTGGCCCTAGATGGAAATTTGCATTTGGACATCACGTTTTTGTTTTCTGCACGGGAAAATTCTCACGAATATTAATAGGCTAATACCCACGTGACAAGATTTACCTTCTTCATAAGAGTAAAACAGAAACAAAGTTTCCCATTTCTTTCATTTCCACCCTACCCCTCTTTTCTTTTACCTGGCGGCAAAACTTTCAGATAATTTCTTCTGACATTCAGTTCTCGTAGAGACTTCAATTGACCTATTTGCTGGGGCAATGCTGTGATCTCATTGCAGCTGACATCCTGTTTCAAAATCAAAGCAAAAAGTAATATAATGTGTTCTTGTAGAATTGAAGTTTTCAGACAACCACAGGGCACACTTCGAGATGAGACTAGCAAGTACCACCCAGCTCAGGGAAGAAGAAAAGTTCACATCTTCAGACATCCAGACGCAACACAGAAAACCATGAGCAGCATTCCAGAGCTGCTTCTGCCACTTACACATGCCTCAGCCCTGCTCAGTTCTCACAGCAAACCCATGAGGCAGTATTATTTAGCTTGGACTTTGCAGATCAGAAAGACAAAGCTCAGGAACCCAAGGTGTGCTAGCATCACAGCTAACACAAGAAACAAATGACCAGCATGCTGCTGAGTGTCTCTCCCATGGAGCCACTAAGCAGAAAACCACAGGCATCTTGTCTCACTGAACTGTCACACTGTACCAGAGCCACCTCTATTTCCAAGGAAGTGGCTTAATACCATGTAGCTAACTACTTTCTTGAGTATTTGAGAAATATGCAGGTATTGGTGCCTTGCTTAAGAAAGCCAAGATTAACACGCTCTTCATCCTTCATTCAAACTACTTCCTGACATATGCAAAACGGAGGCCATGGTATGTATAATCATACATGTTTTTTTATTATCTCCCCAAATCCAATTGCTCCTCTTGGCTCATGAGCTGTGCCCTACTCTCCACTCCCCATTTCCAGCAACTGCTTAAGTCTAGACCACAGACTGGTTTCCATACCCCAGTCTCCTCCAGAGATCCATGCTTCACCAAGCTGCCTGAAAGCAAAGGCCCTAGTATCAGCGTTTTCAGGAACCCCTCGGCAACTGAAGAATAAAACCCAAACTGAGCAAACAGCATGTTTGTGATGTCCCATTCTACCGAATGCCTTCCTTTGCCTCCTACACTCAATGCCACATGACAGCCACTTCCCTTCTTGGTGGGTGCCAAGTGACTGGTCTGGCTCTCTGCCAGATTCACCAGTACCCAATATTGCCCTCTCGTCCTATCTCCTCTATTTTGAGACTGCATTCAAATCTTAACCTCCTTTTTACAATCTACTACATTTCTTCTACGTCTCCCACTCTGATTCCTTCAACTAGAGAGACTGCTTTGCGATCTTACAGAGTATAAAGGCATCTCAAGCAGTTCACAGAAAATGGAATTCAGAGACAAACTGTGAAATCCACATATAGTTTTTCTCATAATACAAACTTTTTGAAGACCCTGGTGTGTCACTCGAATGCTCTCACTTATGTCTGCCTTCCCACTTAAACCTATAGACTCCTGAATGGAAAGGACTCTATCTTGCCCCCTACATCCTCCTGGTGCCGAGTGCTTGGTCTAAAGTAAGGGATAAACACAAGTTGGGTGAAACTTGTGTAATACAATTCTGTGGCCCCTTCTGCCTGCTAGCTAGGACTCTAAAATGCTCTACTGCACACCTAAACCCTGCTTTGGTCCCACTTAGTAACAGAGAAGCAAAGATGGACCTTAATCAGGAATGCCCCGAGCGTAGTCAGGTCTGTAAGCATCATACCTCTTCTCAATCTGCAATGCTGACTGACCTTTTCACCTAAGGAGCTGCAAAGCTCATGTCAGTATCATTTCACATTGGTTCAGATGAGGGGAACTCAACATTAGCCCAGAGCCATCCATGCACAGCACAATGGGATGTGCAGGGGACCCACCAAAATGCTGTGTTCTTGAGTGTTCAATGCATTCCACTGGCTGGAGGGGAGCAACATGGCTGCTGCTGCAAGGGACAAAGCCACCGTCGAGATGGCTGAATGAATGTAGTGTCGCAAACCCACCCTACGCTTCTGTACTTGACTGTGTGGTGAGAAGTGGGGGGCAGAGCAGGATAGATTATAAACACACCATGTTTTGATGGTATTACTTCGCAGAGGCTGTTGCTGCATTCATAACTCTAACTCCAGAAAAGTCAGACTGAATTTGAAGCAAAGCATAGCAAATGTTTAAAACTAAAACATGATAATGATGACAACAGTCTCACAAAAACATCTGCAGAGAAAGAAATGTCCAAGGAAGTCGTTATGGGATTAAGATATTTGTGCCATCACTCCCAGCCCCTTACTCTCCCCTTCGGATTTATTTCCACGTGTGCTGTGCCAACAGTGAAATGCCATCTTTCTGCAAATACTGAAGCATTTTATCTGAAAGAGAAGACAATAACCAAATCCTTTCAATGAAAGCTCTCCTTCCTTTTTCTTAACCATTTTACAAAAAGCAGGTGGGACTAGTCTGCCTCACACAAATGGAACACTAATAAACACTAGAAATGCATGAAATGAGCTCATTCCATTGGATTCATAAACCAGGAAATTCACTTGGGGAAGGCAAGTTTTGGGCAAGGATCGGTGTAATTTATTTTCCATCTCCAGAAAGAATTCCTGTTGCTCACATCTAAATAGCACTAGAACAATGATGAAAAACCTCACATTTTAAAATAGAAACTGACAATATTTTGAAGTTCCAGATTCAAGTTTTTAGTAAAATCTGTCTAATAACAGAGGATGGGGATAAACACAATGGTAATATTCATATGCTCTACTTAGGCACATTACCAGGATTCAATCTTCCATGATGGAACTCAGTGTGATTCCTTTTAAAAATTTATCTGAGGGCCCGGCACAGAGGCCTAACAGCTAAAGTCCTCACCTTGAACAAGCCGGGATCTCATATGGGCACTGGTTCTAATCCTGGCAGCTCCACTTCCCATCCAGCTTCTTGCTTGTGGCCTGGGAAAGCAGTCGAGGATGGCCCAAAGTCTTGGGACCCTGCACCCACATGGGAGACCTGGAGGAAGTTCCTGGCTCCTGGCTTCAGATCAGCACAGCACCAGCCACTGTGGTCACTTGGAGCGTGAATCACTGGACGGAAGATCTTCCTCTCTGTGTCTCCTCCTCTCTGTATATCTGACTTTGTATTAAAAATAAATAAATAAATAAATCTTAAAAAAAATTTTATCTATGAAATGCTGAGACAGCCACAGACACAAAGAAATCTTCCATCCACTGGTTCATCTGCAAAACGCTGGAATCAGGGAGGACTGTGCCATGCCAATCCCAGTAACGGGGAAGCCAATCCAGGTACTCAACGTGGGTGACAACTTTAGCCATTATTGCTGCTGCCCAGACAGTGCCATATCAGGAAGCTGGAATCAAAAGGGGAATTGGGACTCAAACCTAGGCACTAGGATACTCAGTACAGACTCCCCAAGCAGTATCCTTGTCCATGCACCAAATGCTTGCCCTGACTCCATTGCTATAGTGAACTATATTCACTTTGTTCTCTGCTGATCATTCCTGAGTTGTTCATGAGCCCAAGGCATGGTGCTTTCTGAAAACGAAGGCAATTTTCTCCAACATACATTTCTAACATGACGGTTTTCTCAAAGAAACTCTATCCCTCCCCCTGCCCCCAACTATTTTTAACTACTTAATTACTAGTAGGAAAATGTCTATACAATTTACTCTACATAGAAAACTTCACACAATGAATAAAGCAACTTTCCTCAGAATACAAGACATCTGTAGACAATTATGAACACACAGTTCAATTGTCCATTCACATTCTGAAGGGTATATGGTGAAGGTCAAATTATTTCTATACTTCTGTGCGCTGTTGTCAGTTACTTCCCTGACCTGAGAAAATAATGGGAGGAAAACACCCAGATGGATCTGGAATACCAGCAAGATAAAGACTGTTCACAATTGTACAGGCAAACACTGTAGAAGATAGTGCAAACCTCTATTTCCCACAAGTCATTGGCTGCGGCCAAATTTAAAGAGGTTAGGAATTTCATTTCAAAAAGAAAATCCCAGGTGGGGTATTGTGGCCCAGTGGCTAAAGTCTTCGCCTTGAACACACCAGGATCCTATACGGGTGCTGGTTCTAATCCTGGCAGCTCCACTTCCCATCCAGCTCCCTGCTTGTGGCCTGGGAAAGCAGGTGAGGATGGCCTGCACCTGTGGGGGAGACCTGCAGGAAGTTCCTGGCTCCTGGCTTCAGACAGGTGCAGCACCGGCCGTTGTGGTCACTTGGGGAGTGAATCAGTGAATAGAAGATCTTCCTCTCTGTCTCTACTCCTCTCTACACATCTGACTTTGCAATAAAAATAAAATAAATCGTTAAATAAATGAATAAATAAAAAGAAAATCCCAGACCCAGTGTGGTAGCCTAGCAGCTAAAGTCCTCACCTTCGACACGTCAGGATTCCATATGGGTGCGAATTCTAACCCCAGCAGCCCCATTTCCCATCCAGCTTCCTGCTTGTGGCCTGGGAAAGCAGGCGGGGACAGCCCAAAGCCTTGGGACCTTGCACCCACGTGGAAGACCCTGAAGAGGCTGTGGGCTCCTGGTTTCAGATCTGTGCAGCTCTGACAGTTGTGGTCGCTTAGGGCGTGAATCATTAGACAGATATCTGCCTTTCTGCCTCTCTTCCTCTCTGTATATCTGACTCTAATACATACATACATACATACATAAATTAATTAATTAAAAAAAAATAAAATCCCATGGCAACTGTATCTTAGTTAGTCAAAGGATGAGGAAGAAGAAAGAAGTGAGAACTATCTAGTGTTCCAGGATAAGTTATTTCAGTTTTGAAAGCATGCAATCAATATTCCTTGATATCAGCAGATACGAAGATAAAGTGTGATTTTTTTTGGAATTATTTAAGATTATATTTAGAAAAGTAAATATTAACATAAACAACACTAACACCTTACATACAACTGGTCAGAATTTATAAGGTTGTCAATTTCAGATATGGTTTCTTCTTAGAACAGAAAATTAATTCCTTCTGTATTTTTTATTAGCCATAAGCTGTGTCTCAGAGAATAACCACTGCAAGCCTCAGTGAAATCAAATTACCACATATTTAGTATCTATAGTAAACATTTACTGACCTTCTTATGATACAAACACAAATCTAATTATAATAATATAAATTCTCAAGCTGAAGTTCATGGGGAACCAGCAGGTCTCATTT